TGTACATAGGCCTTTTAACCCAAAATGAATTGGACCTCGATAAATGGTACTTGGGAGTAAATCCAAAAAGCGCTCTACTTTCCTCTTGCCCGCACCACTCAGGGTTCCGGTTTGAAGGTAGAGAATCTGCTAGGATGCAGGTTGCGTGCTACTGTGCACACGCAAAACATTGATTTTTACCGTACTCAGCTAGCAGCACTGTGCAGTAGAAAAAATAGATGTGTGACCAGACCGAGAAATTCCATTCTGTAACAATTCTTAATTACAAATAACTTGTCTATTAGGAAGTGCTCAAATGCAGTTCATCCCTCTACATCTTTACTTCCCATTTCATACCCATGCCCCTGTGTTCCGCACCTGTAACTGGAGACCAACTGTGTGCAAGCCAGCAAAGCTACCCGACCTGTCACCATGATTCACACCGGCAAAAACACAGAAAGCACTGTTAGCAGTAATGTCATGTAAGCAGCAGTTGCTTACGAGAAGTGGGAGGGAAGAACGTAGGACACAGCCCCTAACAACGAAAGAGGGCCCACACCAGCACGAGCATCTACGCGAAGGCTCGCTTTCGTCGGAGCGCTGGATTGTGTGAGCCTGCATCTGGGAGGCAGCAGAAGACAGGTCAGTGAGCAAGGGAAATTGAAATACACGCTAGGCCAGTGGTGAAATTCCCGCCTCATGAAGGGATTTCTAAATGCCACTGGTCCATGCAACATTGCCTATTTTCAAGGCACGAACAACCAAGGAAGTAAGCAGAATGACTGAAAGTGCCTGCGAATAAATATGCCTGTAAAGAAAACCGTGCCAACAATAATGGCAACAATCCAAGCAATGCCCATGGAGTATAGTATCTATTGAAGTCATCGAAGATGCGTGGGTAAAGAAAATCGCTATGCAATGCAAGGAGCAATGTTTAGGGATACTACTGCTGTGATTTTAACAGGAAAATGGCGCCCAAGCGCAAATTTTGTACATGTCTTCAAGTCAACTCTGAGGCCGGCACTCCCTACAGTCCCCCGTCCAATTCACCAAGGACATCCGTCTGCTGAGCCCTTGGCACTCAGCAGTCCTTGATTCCGGTACTTTGACCGGCTCATTGTTGGTACTCCCTCTGCTTACGGAACAAATGCCTGCGCGGCTAGCTCCACAAATAATTCCAAGAGCTTTGATACCTTTGAAGAAAGCCCATATTGATGATTCTTTGTCACACTTAACTTCCAATAAAATAACATATAATGAAGAACAGCTATTCATGAGGAACTTGCAAGCTCTTCTATCCATCTGAGCGCAAAGGTCTTCTCTTAATAAACTTCCAGTAGGCTTCATGACGCATGCCGATCTTTCAGAATCAATATTCAGGCTTGACTCACACAGCCGACTGTCGCTCATGGTAAATCCGTGGCTTCCCTTTTCGATCTCTGCGCATAGTTTTATCTGCACAAAACACCTGTCCTTTGATTCCCTCGGCTGCTAAGGATGGCTGCTGACCCCGGACCAGCGTCCAGCCTGGATCGGAGCAGGAGACTCTAGTGTAGTCCAAGAATGCGTCGGATCAGTGGGTAAGACGAAATTGCAATCGTATAAAATACCCACTCAAAGCGGTGACGAATGTCAATTCTCGTACTTGGAATTTTTGTAAACGCAGAGTCAATTACTATAAAAGAGTGCGTGTGGTCCCTGCGTTCTCCCATCTCCCTTCGGATGGTCGTAGTGTCCGCAACGTCGCTTCGAATTGTTAGTACAGTTGTGCTTCAAGGTGAGCTTCTAAGAGTTGAAAAAGCTGACTAAGGAGTAGCACTTTAAACCATTGGGGACATGTTTTTAGTCTAGCAGAACGGTCAGCCCCTACAGCAGCTTTGCGTAGGTTGAAGGTTTTCTATGGCAGAAGCCAATAAAAGGCCTGCCCAAATCGTTATTCGTGCATGAAATTCCCCAAGAATGAGGTTTGCTGTGATATCATGATAAACTATGCTTAGGGTCGAAGGATGAGCTAGCAGTGAAGTATATTCAAAGCTACGGGGTTGTGGCTGTCGCGGTTCTGACGTACACTGGGACACTGGGAAACCAGTTTCCTCGTACTACCAACTTGATTTGCATGCTTTAACTCACTCGAAAGCTTTTCAGCGGTGGAGGATCAGTCTGGAATGTTATCTTATGAACACACTTTGCCGTTTTCTCACAGTAGTGGATTGTCTGGCATGGAAGGCTTCTTGTACCAGAGTAGCACTCTGACGTGCAGTCGTGACGAAGCCTGTAGATTGAGTGAGGAGACTTATTTTGGTCTCTAGGGTGTAATCGAAAAATATTCGTATTATTCTGTCGCACAACAGAGTTTTGAAAAAGCTATTTAGAAGCCTGTGCAGAGCAGGCATCGTGTGTTAATCATCACAGGGGGCGCAGCCTCCCCGTAATGCAGACCCTCCCTATCCCATCGTGCAGAGGAGGCTAGGAACAGCATGGAGCTTATATATATGTGCCAACACAATAGCGCGTTACCGTTAGTGGCCCCAAATACGTGAATAGAGGCATAATAAATAGCGAAGTGGCTACATGACTCACAGCTGGGCCGTTCGTTGGAGGTGCAGTAGAGACAGAAGCCCCATAGGGCCCCATAGGGACTGCTTAGAATTCTACCTACAGCCCTGCTAACTGGTGTGACTATTTACCGAGCTTCTCGGAATTATCGTAAATGTGCACGCGGTTCATGGAGGTACAACAGACGTACTAACCAGTGTCTGATCATAGTCAATTGTGACACTCCTAGATAATCCATTTATTATTTAAGAATAATTGAGGCAATTCCTTAGCTATGAAAAAACTGAGGCAAGTGGATGAGATGGACACATTTGCTGAGGATGTAATAAACAGCGTAGATGCTATCCTGACCTCGAACTTCCGGCAGTCCAGGAGTGGGGTCCTTAAGTAACTCCTTCCAAATCCCTTAAAATTCCTGCTCGAATTTGCGAAAAGCCAAGGTTTAGGTGGTAAAAGCGTGGCTTGCAAATTCATAATCCTCTGCTATTGGACGTATCCACCACCACAAAGGCCGTTATGGATTTTCCACTTGAACCTTGAAAGGCCCAACAGAACATGATCACGTGTTTCGCGCCAAACGGCATCGCAGATTGAAGTGTAAAAACCGCGTCGCTTGATCAGCGTGTTTGTTTGAAAGCAGTGCAGGCCATCCTCCAAGCAAAAGTGATACACCCTTCTCTCATTCTGCGTGCTAACCATATCGGCAAAGCATGAATGTCAAAAGCATACGATGTACTTACCTTAGCTAGAAACCGTGAATCTTTACTGACATGAGCAGTTGAGCGGCCCAATATCGAATTGCTGGGGAATTGCAAGCGCGCATCTGTGACTACGCTAGTGTTCTCAGAAGACTTCACTGGGAAGTCGTACTGAAAGAAGCGCCCAGAGCAGAGAACAACTCTACGGTTGCCGACATCCCGCAAGCTCTTTGTATTGCATTGTAGAGCCTGGTAGTCGGACTGGAGAGGAATAAAAGCTAATTAAAAATATGCTGAGATTTTTCTGGTCACGCCCACCACACCGCACAGAGTTCCTCGAGCCCCACTGGATACCGGTGCTAGGATTCGGTGAATAAAGAAAAATAACGTGTGATAATTTGGCGTTTTAGAGCACCTGTGGTCTCCTGGGAAAGAATAACACTGCTACATAACTAACTCCGGACTCCTAGGAAAATACGAGTCCCGTAATCGGGCAACGCAAAAACCGGAGGAGCTGTAAGGCAGCGGATACTCGTCCTTCCTGTGCCTTCAGCTTCCTCTGAATGGTTGACAGCTGTTTTCCCTTCTTAGATCAGTCAAAGAAGCAGCATTGAAGCAATCCTAGGAATAAAATTGCAGTATCAAGATACAAACATATAAAGCCTCTAAGCGTCCTTAAAGGGGTGTAAAGGTGACACCTTAATTGCTTCATCTTTTGCCTGCTTTGGCTTTGTTCCTGCAGCCATTCCAGCCACAACGCAGATTTCAAATAGCCATTTGTTATAATCAGAGCCCAAACATGAGCCTGCCTTTCCATACCCCTGCTTTCCTCGCAACAGCTGATCCGGTATTAGTAAGCCCTTCGGGTGTTATTGAACGTCTGCGCTGAAGGCTAACACGTCGTCCGTGTAGAGAGCCATGCAGCCCTCCTTGGTAGGCTCGTTAACTTTTCGATTAGGTTGACATGGTAGTCTACTTGGAACACTATAATTTTAGACATTCTACCGTTATGCTGATCGCTGCGAGAGAAAGTGTGGAAAGCCGTATTGTGGCTAAGCTCCATACAAGAAGGCGCAATGTTGAGTACCCGCGCCCCAGATGCTAAGGGCAACTAGCTGTGACTGCTTGGAGTGCCTCAAGGGTGCATCTGCGCGCAGCCTAGCTGTACCTCTTCCCTCATGTCGAAATGCTTGAGTGTGGTGGCAGGGACTAGGAAGAGCTGTATAAAAGGACACCTAGTAGCACTCTATATTTTGTCCTGGGCTCGGAGCTAAGCGTACCCCTGTGCGGACCTTTGGCGAAGCGTTAGACTCTCCCTATTGCGCCTACAGAGGAGCGCTATCATGGGGCTCCTTGTACACTGCTCACCCTCTGTTCATGCCCGGAGGTAGAGTTAGAGGCATAACTACGATCTCGCGGTCCCGAATGAGCTTGCCTTACACCTGAGGTTGCCACAAAGGACTGCCAACGTATATTCCACTTCCTCAGAACTTTTTGTCGCTGTTAAGTACTTCCTACATGCAAACCTGCATAATCATTCCCTGACTTAACTCTTCTCCGGGATCTCTGCAGTCCATGGCGATGGAGTGTGAAGCGTCCCTCAGTATCCTGGAAGCTAACGGCATGTCGTGTTCCACGATCACTCCACCAAATGTTCTATTGACAAAAACTCGAGGCTGCCATAGGTCGTTGCAGAAAATTCACAAGTCCTCTTGAGGGCTTTTAGAGGATCAAAAAAGGGGGCCCCGGGCTCCTAGGTGCAAGACATCAGGCAGCCCACGTGTGAACATTGAAAGGGCTCAAAAGAAAGGAAGGAGGGACGGAACCCCAAATGCTCCCCCCTTGGACTGTTTTTTGGACGAGTGGTTTCAGAGTACTGCCCCTTATAAAGGAAGGCCCCCCTTGCAGCAAGGCCCGGAGGTCTATGCCCTCGTTTACGGGTTGCTGGGGGCTCCTCCACGGTCCCCCATACTCTGCTTGTTGAAGCTGCGGCTGAGGCCATCCCGTAACTCTTCCTGACTGTGCAGGACCCGCTACCACCGTGGACGAGAGCGGTGCATGCAGGGGGAGCCCCACAGGTGGCTGGGGGCCCCCACGAAGAGCTCCCGAGTGGGCCTCCCCAGTCCCTTGAGAGCCAGGGGCAGCTAGCGGAGACGCTGGCAAAAACACAGAACAGCAATACTGCCAAACTTTTGCCGGACGTAATCAACAATCTAGCTAACTAACGCGTTAGAGGGTTAGCGAACCAAGACTCTAGGAGTTTGTGGCTCACCTTGTCTAATATGCCACTCTGCACAAAGCGCAATATGCTGCAGTGGCACCACAAAGTGACAATTGGGGCAGGGAACGCCGCGCAGCCCCGCTTCCGCCGCGTGGTGCAGTAGGCACTCGTCTTCACTCCCTACCATCTCTCGGTGACCCTTGTGGAAAGCCCCCCTCCGACAAGGTCCAGAGGTTTTGTCCCCATTGGATGAATACAAGGGCACTGGCATGCTCCGAGGGCTTCGGGGAACAGAAGGCAAGCCAATTGAGTCCCTAGAGATCTTCAGGGCGCCCCCCGATGTCACTCTTCTGGAAGAAGCCGTCTGGGGACCCCCTGATGTCGTTCTTTTGGAAGTATCTTGGAGGGCCTCATTCGCACGAACATGTGGGGCCCACTGATTGGATCCCTCACCAGGCATAGGAAGAGTCGCTCCTGGTGTCGGCTCTCTCCGAGAATCTGAGCCCTTGTGGCTCAATTCCACGGATGTCACAGGAAGTGGCACCTCAGAAGCAGCAGAATGAGAGGCGCCCTTAGATTTGAGAAAGGCTTCAGGCACCTGGAATGACTTGGGACTCTCACAGGGTGCATGGGGAAGCTCCTCTGAAGATGAGTTAGTTCTTCTGCTACTGTGGCTCCGGCTGCTGCTCCGACTATTCAGATGCTGCAGCGCATGACTCACAGGGAAGTGCGCACTTCGGGATCTCATAAAGCCTACAAGAAATCAGAAATTTCAAAGAAAGCAGTTGCTTTTCTTCTGCGGTAAGGGAGCCCCAAGATGCCTGTACACTTCTTGGGGCCTATCCTATTGGTGTATGCAAAACTGTGCTGTTGCAAAGTGTGCAGCAGATGCAGCCCGCCATGGGGATATGCGAGACATGCGCTCTCCCACACTTTTATATGTTTCCCATCGCCTTACATCAACTGTAGGCCCTGGGCCCATCGAAAGCCTCCTAGGGGTTGGTTGAGGGATCTCCGAAGGAGGAACCATGGAAGAAGAGCGACCTTTGGAGCCTTGGGGGCTGCCTGTCGCAACTCCCAAGTAGGAGCCCCTCCCAGGCCTGCTCAAGCTTTTAGCTCTCTGCATCAGCGTTCGCGAAAGGGAAGTAGGGTGAGGGGCTGCAAGAGGGGTTGGGGGCCTCCGGGATCCACTATTGCACACTCCCCTCCGGGTGCATCCAGGGCTCTTCTCCCACCATCAGAAGAAACAAGGCAGTGGCAAAGGCTCCAGGAGCTTCCACTTGATTGAAGCTTAGGGCGTTCCAATGAACGCAGTAGTGGAAGACCGCAGTCGCTAGCGCCACCTCCTACAGCAGTTACAGCTGAAAAGCGATGGATGGACTGCGAAGGATTTAGGGGTCTCTGCTAGGCGGCTGCCCCGGATAAGGAGGAGATTAGAAAAAATGCTGTGGAGACGGACAAGGGAACAACAAGATAGTGGAAAAGCAGATATAGGTCCGGTGCATGGGTAGGATTGACAGGGAGGGCCCCTTGGCTGCGCCTGAGACCCCCAAGCCAGACAAGGTTCTTCCTCTCACTGCAAGAAGGTTGTAATATATCTCACATTTGTGAAGGATTATTGCACAATCAGAAGATGGAGGGCCCCTAGGGGCCTGTGGGCCCCCCCGGGCCCCTCAGCAATGAACTCAGCCAATGGTCCATGAGTAGCTCACCCGCCGAAGTAGCAGCAATTGAGCATATGGCAGAAAGAGTCACGGAACGAGCAAACTATTGCTCACAGCTCTAAAAGCAATTAAGCTTGTTTAATTAAACAGATTTTGCCCACCTTTTGATTTCCCTCCTTCCCGAAGTGGACCCCATGCCTCCTGAAACAGGCGGACCACTGGAATACTTCGGCTTGTTGTGTACAGTACAAACATTGATAGCCGGAAATCCACACTTTAATCCCAAAAGTCAAAATTCTATCACTCTGCGCTCGCTTCCAACCTCCAGCGAACGAAGAGTAACAGTATCTGATACGTCAAAGTGGTTAGGATTTGCCTCCCTAAAGTAACCCACTGTTGTACGCACACAGGAGCCTAATTAGGATGTACAAACACGTTGGAACCTGCTCCTGTCGCAGTACCCAGGGCGATTACTACAGTTTGTCTGGGTGCTAGGAGACGCAAGTACTAGCTAATACAACACATTTCGGAGTGCATGAGGAGTGCCCGTCAGTGCCCCCAGAGTTCTTTCTCCCCTACACCCAGGAGGTGTCGTATACACCGCAGGAACCTAGGCAGTTTTATTCGCTTGCGCCAGGCTCGGATGGTGTTCCTGGTTCTGCAGTTGCTGCATCTTCCATTCGTGTTGCAACAGTTGCTGCCCTTGTGTAAGCACGTCGGACTGCAATACTGTTGGCACTGGCAGTTCTCGTTCCTTTTGCTCGCTCGCGGTGTCCTCTTCGGAGAAATCCAGTCCCCAGCCTTGCAGGGGTCTCTGTGCGGACTCCCTTGTTTCCTCCCTCTCAAAATGTTGCAGCTCCATCACTGGGTTCTGGCGCTCGCGATAAGTAGATGCCCTTTGGTTGCTCTCTTGCCGCAAAGTAGCCCACCTGGCTCCCCACTCCCGCTCACCCTGCGCCTTCACAACCTCACAACACCCAAGCGGTTAGTTGTTGTTAGTGTCATTCTTATACTTCATTCCCCAGACCCTTAGCCATATCTCATGAAGTTGCACACCTCCAATCTTAAACTCTTGCTCACTCTTTGTGGTTCAAACTTCCTAGCTGCCTCTTTCCTGGCCTCAGCGGCACGTGACTGTCTCTCCTTTTGAGCCTGTCTGTGGCGTTCTCTTTGGAGAGCCAGCTTCTGCTGCTGCCGCAAAGCAGCTGCTGCTCTTTGTCTCTGAGCCTCCTGGATTCTTTCGAGCCGCTCCTTGCGCATTTGAGAGGTTTTGAACAGTTGCTCTTGCTGTAGCTGATGCTGTCGCTGTGCTGCAACGTCCATCAGCGGTTTCAGGCTTGCATACGCCCGCAAGGATCCACGTCCTACGGCAGCAGCAACACTATCTTGCTTACCACCCTCAATCTTATTCAACAACTCCAGCAGTGGAACATCTGGGGCCTCCGCAGCAACGTCAGCCAAAAACAAATTTTTTTCTTTAAACTCCTCTGATGCTCCTCCCTCTTCCCCTGCTCTTTCAGCCGTTGTTGCTGATCTTCCTACCCGGGATAAGGCAGAAGTTGTTGCTGGTGCTGCCTCCGGTCGCCGCCTAAGAGAAGGCGAAGCTGTCGACCTGTCTCGCGCTGCTGCCGCTGTTCTACTTGCTGTTCTATACCGAAGTGATGAGTGGGGCCTCCTCTTGCGAGTTTCATGATCTTCTTTATCATCCTTCGTGTCTGCCCGTTTACGGGCACCCCGATTGTCTGTTCGGAGCCCGGGATCGCCCACAGAAGAGAAGCTATGCAAACCTGAATCTGCTGGATGCCTTTCCTCCTCCTGCTGCAGCTGCCTCGACACAGTGGAAAATAGTGTAAGTATTACTTCCGGTTGCTGCTGATTCTGTTCCTTTTCCTGCCAGCCCTGCTGCTGAAGCGGAAGAGACGAAGGAGAACGCAGTATCTGCCCTTGTTGATGTTGCTTCAGGTCCTGCGGCTGCTCGGGATGTTGCTCCTGTTCCTGCTTCTGATCAGCCTGCTGCAAGGCTAGGGACGAAAACGCCAGCAGGGACTGCTGCTGCTGGAGAAGATACTCTGGGGGCGTGAAGTCTGCTGGGATGGCGCAAAGGACAGCAGGGAGCATTTCAGCAGCAGCAAACAGTGCCGCAGCAAAAACGGCTTGTCCAGGCAGGCTGTAGGGCCTAGCGGGAAGGCTCATTGCGTTTCATGGGCGTAGCCCTCTAAACGAGCATACTCCTCCGATCCCCAGGTGACCTGACAGGCGGTCAAGTGCGTAAACAACCCTGAAAGTGATAACGGTTTTGCACGTCCTGAGGTATCTGGTTTTGCTTCAATATTCCTAGCGGCTTGAGTTGAAGAAATAGGCAAACTAGAGGAGAACTCGCAAAAGGAGACACGCGGGAAGGGGTGGGGTTGTTGTTTCCTGAAACAAGAGGAGCGTTTTTGTTCCAAACGCAAATAAACGTCAAAAAATAGCCTTTTCAAGTATTCACATTAAAAAACAGGGAAAAAGCGACTCAGAGGGCCCTAGGGATACCCCCTCGTCCGTAGTATCGCTGCGGTGGCGCCTACAATTAAACTGGCACGTGAGGAATGTGCACGACCCACACTCAAAATGGAATGCCGAGTTCGCTTTCTACTTGTGGTCAATGTAGAAGTTTGCATTTGGGGTAACGCGAAAACTGTGCGATAGGTCCCTAGTTCGCCCTGGGGCTCAAGCGGGTTGTTGTTGTGGGGCCGTAAATGTGTGTAGCGGAGGTTGCTGCCCCTAATCATTGCTTCTCAGGATTATCGAAGGAACTGCTTCAGGGATCATGAATAATAGTTTCCATCCCAGAGGCAGGAAGGGCACGAGTAGCGTGGGCGGTGTTGCAGACCTGTAGAATCCGTTAGTAATCAATGAAGCAAGATAACGAAGGACATTTAAACCCAGTCTACTACACTAGTTTCATTTAAACACAAAATAACGCAGCGTTACCTAGCTATTTCGTCTGTTCTTACGTCATATTTATGTCAGAGTACCCTATGCTCGATACAATCATAACGCAATGTGTGCCTGTGCCCTACATGCAATGAACAAACTAGCTGTTGCAATGAATGCTCATAAGATGCAGCTACGCGCACGCTGATTCACCCGATCCCCTCATACTGGTAAATCTGCGGGGCCTTGGCAGGAAAGGTGAGAGCTCTTTCAAAAACCGTAGATAAATTTATGGTCTTCTTGTATTAAGTGTGGATCTAAGTGCCTATCCATGGAAAACTTAGAGGGATGCGTTGTCAGGTTTCCCTACGCAAGTTTTTTGGGTTTGATCAAGCTTTGCGGAATTCAATGCCTTTAAATCTTGGAGAGAAAGGAGCCTCTGGCGATGCAACTGTAAGTGGGCCAATGCTCGTGGCTGCAGAGGGACAAGTGGAAGCCAATGAATTCGATAGCTTCACAGCTCGCAGGAGGACTTTAAACTTTCAGCCAATTTAATGTTGATGAATGCATCAATGGGGTTCTGGTGACCAAAGAAAGTATGAGGGCCGTGAGGATGGGCGTTTTGGTGGGTTGGCATGTGTCCCAAAGTGGGGGAGTGTGCCCTATCAGGCCAAAATTGTCACTGAAGGTGCTCAATTCTTCATAATCTTGTCCTATAAGAACTCTTCTAGTTGCTGAGAGGGTTTGGACTGATGTAGCTTCCGGCTTGATTGCGCGAGTGCCGGAGGTTAAGGGTTAGAAGAGAGCAAATTCATCATTGTTGACAAACTCAGCATTTATGCCCACTCCGTCCTCTGCTCCAGTTCTGTCACGGCTCAGACAGGAGCTCAATTAGCTTTTACGCATATCTGGGAGCTTTAAGGGCTTTCCTTGAATCGTTATGGATAGGTATCAGTAGTTCGCTACAGTGTTCTGTTGTGGTTTATGATCCGCCTAACCACTGACCAATATACGAGCACTGCAAAACAATCCTGAGGATGAACAGATGAACCGCAGCAACTTCACGTTTTTGAATATTCGCGACTCGAAGTTTACCGAAATCGTTGTTTGGCTTGGTAGTTTTTACTATCTTGAATACATACAACAGTCCACTTGTCTACTCATTGCATTATCCCTTCCCTGGTTTACACTGAATAGCTCCTAGCTGATGTAGGTCTGAGTGTAGTCCGATGTGAGTAGGAGCTATTCTCGGCGGACAGACTCAGGGAACAGCTGGCTAGTGCATGCGAATGTATGGGCAGCAAAGATAAAAAGGGGCAAGCAAGGACTTCCGATCTGTGGTGGTCCATTGTGTGTTTGGTGCTTGAATACTTGATCCTGGCGATTACGCTCTACGAAGCGCGCCAGCAGATGATCTGACGATACCGGTTGTGGCCATGTGGCTAGGATCAATTGCAATCTGCTCACAAATCAATGCACTCTCTTACTCGATCGATTATATCAAAGATCGGAGGCGCGATTGGCTCATAACTATTGCTTCTCAAAAGAACTTTTTCGCTAAAGTAAGTGATCCATGCGTAGGCAGAGGATACACAGGAAGTGTCAGAAGCGCTGGAATCTAGGTCTATTGAGAGCCAACGGCACCATAGACCAGGGATTTCATTGTACAAAGGGGTGGGGAAGGCCACGGTCACTGGTCATCGGAAGAGAAACTGCAAGATTCACTGCTTACAAGCGAACCATTTGTTTTATTCGCCTTGAAGCGCTAGTCCTCATTGACGGAGTCAGCGTTCCTCGGCACGTGGTGTTGCACGCTCCGCCTGAGGTAGCTACTTTACTTTTTGTGGATTGCTTGAAAAGTTGCCGGTAAACGTCACCCTAGTGACCTCTCCACGCAGATCCATGTGCAGTCGCTCTCAGTAATTTCGTCCCTAGAGGCATCCTCATGCCTCTTTCATTGTTTTTAAATGGACTGTGCTGCATTTTTTGGAGTTCATTTGCATGCAGATACTGCTTTAAAAGGCATGGAGTTACTGTTTAACTATTTCCGGCTTTAATGCTCTCTCGGAAGCTTTACTTGTTCTCTGTTTTTGTACGGCAGGACTCGTAACTTCAACGCTTCGGCCGCAGTAAGCCATCACGCCGCCATGGTCATGTTGGTTTGGTCCATAGTCGGTTGCTGGCTTACGTGTGAATCTCTTTCCCACTTGTCATCACATTTTTTGCTTGCCTGGGAAGCGGCTTGGACCGGTTTTCCTGGGCTGCCTTTCATCGTAGTGGGTTTCGATATGTAGGTACGGAAGGTAACGGCGTGCGCACTGAAACTAGGGGAGAAAAGTGTAGGGGGATAAACTTTACTTGAACACTTTTACTACATTTATTGTATTCAGCTAAAAACCAGAAGGATGTTGACCGATTTATTTTTGCTTGTATATCTGGTTTATCGCGAAGTACTCCCAGCTTGATACAAGAAGTCGTAACGTACAAAATACTGGATAGGCAATTAATGCAGCATCGTGGAATTCAGCTTTCGAATATAAATCTACTAAATTAATAAATAATCTATGGAAATAGCTGGAAATGTGTCAATTAACATAATAACTGTAGATACAATACACCAAGAAGCAAACATTGCGAGTTAGCACCGTTTGCAACAGCTAGTACAGCAATTGTAGTTTCAAATTATATGAAGATAGAAAGGTAGAAATACCGCCAATAAGTTGAATCAAATACAGTTTAAACGACTGACGTAAAGAAAAAGGACATTAAAGTTGCGCTTAATGTGGGGTAAAGTATCCAACCACTACCTGAACCAAATACAGAAATCAGTAATGTATTTCTTACAATAAACACAATTCGTACAAGTATTAAGGAGGCAAAATTCACTTTAGGAAAGGCTATTTCTCAATTCGCTAAATGAACTGGTTAAAGGTAGCTAGTTTATTCCCCCTAAGGAAGACGGAAAGTTGTGTCCGTGCGTGCGAGATACTTTGTGCAGCTAGCTATGAATTCTGGGAGTGCTTAAATCGTCCAGCTACGAGCACCCTACTTGTCCCCCTCCCCTCATATCGCGAGCTCTGGGAGGCGTTGGCAAGGGAAGGCGGATCTTCTTTTGGGAAATCCTCAATAACTTTCTATCAAGTTTCGCATTGAGTTTGGATTCAAATTGCCCCCTACGGAGACCTTGGATGAGGGGCTACACTATACAAACAGATCCGACCCCTTTTATTCACCCTGCATATCTGTGCGCATAGATTTCAGGCGCTAAGGAAGTATGCCCGTACAAACAGACTCACTGACCTAAGATAGACAGCCGGGAGGCTTAGGAGCCCTGTAGGCTCCCCCGTGGATCTTCCCCCCTTGAAGATCCACTGTTAACAACATACGGAAACAAGGATGCCAGTGAAGCAATAAGAAACAAGGGCGCCCAACAGAGCTGCAAGAGGTAGGTAGGGGCATATGCACCGGGCAGATATGGTTGAAGGCAGTCCAACATACGCGGTACTCATCCATGCCAGGCCGTCCTACTTACAGGCCCGACGTGGGTGCGTTCCAGGTTGGCGGCAGGTCTCTAGCTCTGAGAACAGTAAGCACATTTTCCCTAGCTGATGCTGATATGCACACAGTCCAATCTCGCCATTCCCCTCCGTGAATCTTCCCTCCCCCGTAAAGTCTGACGGATGCACGCATTCATGCAACAATGAGACAAACCAAAAGTGTGGCTTCCTGACCCAACAAATCTTACAGGCGTGTGGTGTCTACGAAGGAGTATCCGCAATTACCAGGGCCATAAGGGCTCCACATGTGGTCTGTCCATGTATGAATGCGTAAAATGCACCCAGACTATTCCCTTACCTTCCTCCGAAACCTCCACCCCGCATAGGGCCGCTAGAAGAGGTGGCAGACCCCCAGCCTCGATTTCCTCCCCTTCTATACCGATGGCCACTTCCTCTATGCTGCTGCGCCTGCTGCTGCATTTCGCCAGTCGGAATGTAGGCTTCTCTCTTGAGCTCCCCACCTACGCTCCGGGGCCCCTGAGGGCCCCCATGGGATCCATTAGGCCCGCCTCCCCTGAAGTTACCCCCGCCTCTACCGCGCTGCCCTCCCCAGTGAGGTCTGCAACAAACGCCACCACACGAAGGATCGAACTACACTCTAAACTCCCTGACTTTTCACCGGTAATGCCTTCAACTCGAAAATTCTAGGATGTGAATGCTTTGTGCGAGCTCACGCTGAATGTCTGCCACCACTAACTGGTGCTCCGCGAAGAGCCGCGTTCGCACGGTCTATACTCTGCCTAAACGCCTTGGCATCGATCTCCTGAGGCCTGCCTCCTGCACACGGTGGAGTCGACCCCACCAGCTGCTGCGACCTTATCCAACTGCGGGCTCCCCCCTCCACGCCATCCTTCTTCCGGGACGTTGTTGCACACGCCGCGGCCAACACATTGTTCCTAAGGACAGTATCAGAAAAAGACAACGCGCAAAATATGATAATCCAGGGAAGATGGAGAACGAGACAACATGTGGTGTGGCCTTCTCTTCCCACAGCCTTACAACTACATGCCCCTCTGAGTTTGCTTCTCTGTGAGCCGCACAGCAGTTATTCCACTCCATGTCTAGAATTTCCAAGGCCTTCTGCCACAACACCCCTATACTTGGCGTAATCTCCACTGCATATCCCCCTATGTCACTTTCAAGAACCTTGACCCCGTTCTCCGCTTCCCCCTGTCGTTCGCACTGTCCAGCTCTGCTTTTTTCCTATAGCCTATGCCAGAATGCGCCTCATCACTCGTCTGGCCAGAAGTTCTGAAAGATGTCTGGGCGTACTTGGTGGCGAAGGGTGTATGGAGATACACAGGAACCGCTTCTCCCTTCTCTAGTGCGTGGAGATTCTCTATAACTCTGCAAACGGTATCCTCGTGCTCCTGCAGCAGCCACAGGAAAACAACGAATAGCACTACAAGTTACCCAGCCGCAGCGAGACAGCATCGGCAAAGATCCATTCAAATTCTTCATGCAAACCCCCCTAACCCCAAGCTTCCTTAAGGGCGACTCAGCAGCAACCCGCAGCAAGGGCACGAATAGCAACGACGCTCCGAAACGAGACTGACGGATGTTTTGACTGAGACCAGGAAGGCTTGGAGGGCCACATTCGCGCGAATGAGGAGGACACGTCTCCTTAGCGCATAGTCCTGATTGAGGCTCTCACATAAGCGGCGCAGGTCAGCCGCCCTCTCCGTCGCCTCCTCTGAGGGGCTGTTTGGCCAATTTGACAGCAGCCAAGGGCCTTCTCCTGACACGTTGGGAGGCGCACTAGGCTGAAGCACGCACGTACGGAAGCAACAGAGCTTGAACCGAGAGTTCATAAAAGGTGCGGAAGCAGCATCAAGAAAAAAGCAGCATTGACATGTGCGACAGCCAGCATTTGGGCGCGGCCATTTAGTGCATCACTGCACTGCACAATCCGCCGAAGGGTCTCTCGAAATGTCTCATAAGCCCCTAAATGGCTGACTCCGCCTCCTCTCTTTGACCCTCAGCGCCCTTCGGCCTGCTCACTAGTTTGCCCCCTTGGCGCGTGTAGGCTGTCTAACCGATGCACCTGTGCAGCTGCCATGGAGACAAGGACAATCTGAACAGACTCTAGGACCTGTATCACGCTGTGTATGCCACTTACCCTGCGCGCTGCTGCTGATGCTGCGGCGCTCATAGCCTCTGCCATCTGCTGCGGGGTAGGCTTCGAGGGAAGCTGCACTGAGAGGGAGCGGCAGACAGAGGCAAGGGCCTGCTGCAGCTGCTGATGCTGTGGCTGCTGCCGCGAAGCCTGGGAAAGACGCAAAGTCAAGGAATTCACTCGCCCTCGTGCCTGCCGTGCTGCCAGAAGTTCTGTCAGAAGCTCCACTGTACGTAGCAGACAGAAGCACGAAAACGCAATCGCATCAGCCTCAATAACATTCGCTGGCTTCTACTAGCACCATTCCAGCAGCTACAGCGCCAGCATCTGTAGCAATCACAGCAATCGGGAAACTGCAGTCTACCAAGGAGTGTACGTCTGTCTTCGAGTGTTGCTGATCGCAAGTCTCCTCCTGCCTCAAATAAGCCTGGGCAATCACAAACCACGGCAGCAACAAGATCGCAAGTCACAAAGTGCTGGCATCTTGGACAGTGCAGCGATTGGAGCTACTCGAGCATTGGTGTCCTTGCTGCCGTAGCAGGGGTACCCATGTGTAGTACAAAGTCTCACCGCGTTGCTGCAGCCACTGTTGAAGAGGGAAGCCCTCTGCCGCTTCCACCGAGTTCCAGTTGTGGCCAACCTCTATTTCATCCTCAAGAGCAACAATCTCGGCGGCAATCTGCAGCGGCAGCAGTGACAAGATTTTTCATCATAAAGTCAAAAGTATACAAGAATGAAAGCTAAAAGGCACTGTACCAGGGACGGCGGCAAGAGCAATAAACGCCCTACCTGGCATGCAACGAAGTCAAAGCGCTTCGGTGACAGCAGCAGCAGCAATTGCTGCTGCAACTCTGATGGGGTGTTCCTGAAGGAGCAGCGGTAAGAGCAGCACATGCCCGAGACGCTTTTGACTGCCTAGGAACAGAGCTAGCAGCAGCAGTAGAGGATGTCACTCGGCTTCGTGGCCCATGCGAAAAAGCTAAAGACGTACTCATCGCCTATATACGGGAACGCTAGGCCTAGAAGCTCTGCCGCTTCCTCATTAGACTCGCAGAAGGTCGCCATAGTGCCAACAAGGTTTGGGATGCATAGCCACCAGCTGAGGTGCCTGTACACCCCAAAGCAAGTCTCCTCTCCTTATTATTATCCGGCTGGGATCAGCAGGTGTTGCCAATATGGAAAGATGAAAGCCTCCAGATCCCCGCTCTTCAGGGGTTAAGGGCGCTGGTATATAAAGTTTAGGGTTTCAGAAAAGGTGATCGCCGCACAGGAGTCGGGCTGTTGGACGTGGTGGCAAGAGAGTGTGATGTGTTTGATACGGGAGACCAGAAAACGGTGTTTGGCGGAGTTCACGGGAAAGCACAAAATAAAATTATGGTGCTTCTTAATGTATGTGCAATTATCGTCCTAACTTGCACTTTGTAGGGTAAGATGGTCTGCAGACACCCCTACAGCCCCATTAAAGTAGGTTTTGTTCTTCTTACCCTAATAATGGTTTGACTGGGTACAACACTTTACTATTACCATTTGACCGATTACTGCTTCTGCGTGTTGAAGAGGCTACCTGCCTTCACCTTAGAAGCCGCATATACGCTCTCTCAGAGCCAGAAGTCTGCGAGCGTGGCAAGGGATATCTCCCTTTTGGCTTTGGTGGCAAACACTGAGGCTTCGTCCGTAGCCTTTTCTCCCTCCCCCTTCGCAACCGTTCATGCATACTCTGTGAAACGAAGGTGTGCGCAGGTACTGCTTTTGTTGCTGCAGTGGAATCTAGAAGAGCCTAGCAGGTAGTCGAATGAAACAGGCATATAATGATCGTCTTCTCTGCCTTTACACCTATTCCATGCTGCCCAATCCCATTCGCCGGGTGGAAGTGCTAATTTTGAGACAGCCTGTCAACCTCAGCAACCAAAGCCTCAGAATTGCCTTACCCACCCAGTAACACACCACTATCAAGTGTCTATTGTAGCGAAGTCTATACCTTGAAAACAAGAACCTGTAGAGTTTCAGCGTATGATGGCTATATGTCCAACGCCGCTGCTTAACCCTGCTCGTTAAAATGCCACTACAACTGATGAAGTGAATCATTAGACGAAGCTTGTCTTGAAAATCTGCACCACATGCCTTAGCACAATGAAAAGCGCACCATCAGCGGAACTGTATGTTCTGTGAAACATAGCGTGGCATGTTCCTGCGAGCTCAGCTGTGAAGTTTTTGACCTTTTGCGGAACATCTGTAGACGGATGAATGTGCAATCTAAGAATGACTATGGTACACTTGGTGCACTTCCTGGGGGCTGCTGAAGCTATTCGCTGTTTCGTAAATTGTTCCCGGGATCTTGTCCAACAAAGTAGGAGAATTTAGGCTATGCTCCATACTCTTCTTTTTATTCAAGTCTAAGCCATCTTCCCCTCTAGTGAAACAGGGGTACAAAACGCTCACTGATTAGGGGTCGGAAGCTTATGATGCAGTTTGCATGTATTTCAACCATATTATGACTCCCACTCTATCGTTGAGGCAAGCGTTTCCGTGCTTTGGCGGCTTGTCGTCTAGAAGGGTCCCTGCTGCCTTCAACGGTTCCCTTTCTTTATGCTAATGTTCACCTTGCCGGCTGGAAAAAGGTGGATGACCTCGGCTGCAGCTTCTTTCCCCTAAGCTCCTGACGCGATGAGCTAGCAGATGCTGTCTCAAGAATCCAGCTGCCGCCCTATGGAAGAGCAAGAGAAGAAAATACTAACCGAAGGGAGCACAGCGCTCCCGAAGAAGAGGTGGCAACAAGCAGGCAGAAGCCGACGCAGGAGATAATGGCTGCTACACTAGCTTGTCATGGCCTTAGTAAACAATTCAAAAAATCGTGTCTGGCTTCTCTTCTGGGGCTCCATCTCTGCGTGCTACCAGCATGCAGAGACCCGCCTCAAAGCCATTCTCTTGAAATAGGGGGGGTGCAGAGAGCAAATACAATGCGGGCGACCCTACATTTGTTGCTGGTACATGCCCCGCCTCTCCTAGCTTCCCCCAACCTTTTCGTCATCTTCAATCTCAGTGTTTGGGGCGAGTTCCAGACTACTGATCGCATGGAGCTGGCTCCGTGCGACGATGTACGCGGGACTGCTGCTGCACTCCATAAATTCCCCTCCCTCGGTGTCACTACGGGATGCTTGGCTGTAACTTCATGAAAGGAGGCTTCATGCATTAGACCCTGTCTCCTCCTCTTACTTGAGATCCCTTTTGAGTTTCCCCAATTGTCTGGACACAGCAAAGCAACGAGGAGCGCGAGCTCGGCAGCCTTAACGGTGAACATTCAAGAATGCTTTAAACACTACTGAGAGGCAGTTACCTGTTGTAGGGGCTGGAGGGTCTGTTCTTCCATGGCCTGGAGCTGCGAGACCAAGAGATCTGCCGAAACGCCAGTGGTGCCTCTCTTCCCGCCCACAAAGTCAAGAAGGTAGCGGCGCTGCCCCTCTGACCACTGTAATCCAAGCTGAAAGAACACAGAGGCAGGCAAAGAGTCAGCCTACCAAAACTGTACCCCATACACGCTTCTCTGAGTTGGCATGGAAAGGGAATGCATGGCCAGAGCTACCCATACGAAAATTGGTTAGAAACTACCAACTCGATCGCAATAACCCCTCCAGAAGTGTCTCCATCGCACAAAGGTGGGCTCAACAGACCTCTGAAAGGATCCGTGCGAGACTATTAACATCCACCCCAGTTGGCGCAGTCCATGGAATGCCATACTTGTCCTCAAAGAGAGCCTGCAGGTAACCCACAAGACGAGCACAGGAGCGCGTGCCGGCTGCATTTACTATTTAAAGTGTCACAAAACCCTTGAACTTAAACAAAGCTGCGGAGAGAGCCCTAATTAGACCGGTATGGGCTGGTAGACGGATGCACAAATGCTAATCTTGTAGGACTCCTTATACACCGAGATGTGTGGGCAGCGACTGGAGTTTAGGGCTTGGTCAGACTCTGAGGGCGTCCTTATCCAGGGGTTCCATGAGGAGCTGCTTTATCACGATAAGCAAAACGTAAAACTCTTCCGCATCTACTCCACCTTTATTGGTGCGATCGAAGATTTGGAGAAAATCCTGCAGTCAAAAATCCCACAATGCTCATAAGAAGAAAAGCTGAGGCGAAAAGCATGAGAGAACCAGCTTTCATACGACAAAGAAAGTAGAAAGGCCTTACTGACTATCATGCACTCAAAGCGCATAAGGCCTCTGGGGACATTGGCAATGAGCATTTGAGAGATCATGCAGCACAGTGGCATACATTGACGTCTGCTTCAGTGCGAATTGAAAGGCCCTGGGACTTCAGGAACTTGAATAGCTTTGGACGGTCAATTTGTCCTAGATGCTCTTCATCCAGGGAGGCCCACATGACCACCATCTGTTCCTTTACGGCTCGAGACACGGAGAGGGCTCTAAGAAGGTAGGAATAGAAGAACCAAATGCACATTGCAGGCATCTAGCTAGCAGCTACACTTTCTCATCGTTGTTTTGTAGCTTTCCATCGATTAAAATACTTCACGGATAAGAGCTGTGGGATGTACAGTCAGGTGTGCGTACTTGATTTGCATTTGCTTCCAAAACATTTCCCCTCCCTCATTGATGGCGAATAACGTGGATTGCACTCGAAGCCCGTCCACTAACTCTGCCGTCCGTCTCACATTCTCTGCCCTCTGGATCTCCCATACCTAGAGCAGGAGCGTCAGCAGCACATTGAAGCCATGCGTAGTACAGTGTGGCTTCTCTCCTCCATAGTTGTTAGTTTTGCGCATTGTTAGAAAAATTCCTTCTCTAAAGGTCACATAGAGGCTGTGAAGAGAACCCAGAACCACTGAAGCCTCTATGAGGTTTGTTGTGCGTGCGCGTTGAGAGAGACAAGGACGCATGAGTTTGTCCCTCTTGCTTTCACTGCTGCCTCTTGTCCTACCTTTTCAAAAAGATCGTGATTGACGAGCATTCCCGAGTGCAGCGCAAGTACGGTTGAATATAGAACGTTCTTTAGCAGCCCAAAGTGCAGCAATGCACAGACGCCAACCGAAATGTTCCCCCACCAAGAAATACGTAGCCAAGTAGCCGGATGAGAACGCAACAACTGAATCCACCAAGACAGTACTATCAGCTGACAAAAGTAGGAGGCCTGAAGAGCAGTGGGAGGGCAACGTCAACACAACGGTCGTGGCTATGAACGATGGCCAAGGATGCGTAGTGTGCTTGTTTAGCTATGGGGTCTTTCCCGCCAAAGGTTCGTCACTGTCTTCCTTCTCCCCACTGCCAATCAGTTCACGCTGCTAGTTTACGCTCGTCTTAGGCTATAGTGGCTTTGCTTCTCGTCTTCCCCCTGCAGTTCGCCCCCTCATTGCTGCTCAACGCGCTAGCTCCACCACCATCGGTGCCTAGCTTTAGTCCTTCCCCGATATCCCTTGCTGTCGTGTTCTGCGTAAGCGGCACGCCTTGTATATCTCCTGTTTACCTCCAGGGTTCTCATGACGATGTTGGGACCATTTGCCCAGAAGCAGAAGAGCTGTTGGTGCTTGTTTGGGAGAGTAGTCCCATAGAAGTAGCGGGAGCAGACACCCGGCCACGCATTCTGCACGATCAAAGTGTAGCAGACGCGCATGTGCCACTTGCCCTACTTGTACAAAGGTGTGGGCCTTGTGGAGAGGCACTGCAGTGCACGCATACACACCAGGGCTGTCGGATACCCACCTTCTGCTTCTGGAGCTTGTACGGAGGAGTATATTCTTCCATATATTCGGCGGCGGAGTCTCCTGCGACTTCTGTATGGTAGCGCATCACTAAATAGTGTGGTATTTGGCGGGGCAACAGCTGCTTCTCGATGCACGCGACGTACGCCCATGTACATAACATCCATACGAGACACACCAGAGAGCATATAGAGAGGATAGCAGCCTCCAGATGCACCCTGAAGCTGAGGAATGGCCTTAGGATTACCACTATAACCATCAAGAACGCCAGCGTGCTGTTAGGTAGCCGTAGCATCTGGATGGCCATTTGCATCAGCGACGCTCTCATGTACTCCATAAAGTAGTACCCAGAGGGATCGATTCCGGGGATGCTCATCGCTTGCACATTATCCGCGAATTCGTATCTAGCAAGCAAAAGCGCAGATATGAAGGATAAGTGACCCTGTACCTACAAGCACACTCGTTTTTCTTGACCCTGCCTGCCTCTCCCGGTTTATAAGTGACACAGTTTGGCTCGTTCCGCAACAAGCCATACAGAGTCCAAGACTACCCCTAACTCCGGTCTCGAAATACTCGCAAACGCAGGCCTGCGTTGGGCGATCCCAAGTGTGAGGAGACATAGATATATCGGTTGAATAAGGCACTTGCTTCCACCACTGGTGTAGTCAACAACAAGCCTATCGTTTTCCCACAGACAACAAGCGGTGCCCCTGAGTACAGCCCCGCAGGTGCCCTTCTACGCGGGACGCTGGAGACGAATCTCGTGGTGTAAGAGAGTCTCCAGCTCTCTAAATTGCCCCGAAAATCACTAAAATTTATTGGCAGCTAGCCAGCTTGCCTGTGTGCCACGAAGCAGGCTTTCGCAATGTCATCTGCCTGGAAGCATCCCCCGCAGGTCGAATGCTGCGCAATCTCTGCCCTCCGCGCAATCTCCGCAACGTCTTCCTCCTCGTCCACCTTACGCATCCACGTTGACAGCTGCCTAACTAGACACTGCAATAGGATGACAAACACCACATACCTGAACCGGCACACCACAAACGCTGTCACATAAGACGCAATGTCATCCCTTTGCATGCATGTATGTGCAGTTATATACACATACTTATGTACAAAGAGTATTCTCAGCCCTAAATGTATGATGAAAGGTGTCGTGAGTGAAACATTACATTTGGTATTACAACGATTTGGCCAGCTGACTGTGTCTGTTGGGGAGCCTACCAGATTAGTAGCAAAATGGCTACAAAGAATAGCTCCTCAAAAAGAACTTCAAGCATTGGGGAAACATTTTCAAGCACAATATCTGCGTCCCTGTGTTGTGGCATCACCTGAGAAGAGTCACAACCGCAGCCACACAAAGCAAGAAAGTAGGATGCTACACGACCCACGAATCTTGTCTCCCCTATCTCTCTGCCCATCCCCCTTTCCGCTGCCTTCCTGCGTGGCAATCCCCCGGTGTTTGCAGCGGTATCTATGCCTGTGCCGGGATGACAGCGGCAACCATTCGCCTGTCTCCATTGTGGGACTAAGCGACGCGAGAGAATCCTATCTTACATCCCCAAATACGAGCTCATCGAGGATTCCTGCCACATTTGATTGCATGCAGCCCCAGAGGATAACATCAACAATTGCTATATACGTGATTTGGCGGAATGCGGTCTCCATGACTTCTCGTGAAAATTGGTCGCCTCCCCTAATAACCTTCCGTTCCAGCACGCGGCACGAGCACTGCACTAGGATTGCGAAGGCCAGCATGCATAACGCCATCACGAAATACGTGTTGTTCTTCCTGTTTTCTAGGCTCCAGAGGATATCCGCGGCTCGCGGGTTCTCTTCAGACGCGCAATACGCCGGGCCAAAAGTTGCAATGTCACAGTTCTGAGCAGAGAAAGAGCAGTCAAAAGATGGCCAGAAAGGAGAAACGGTAGGCATCCAAGAACTGAACACGGCTTTGCAGGCTGCTCCATAAGAGACATGCGTAAATGTCCATCAGAACATCGTGCACCCAGTAGCATTGCTGTTGGCATTATCTCTGCGGCTCCCACTAATTGTGCCCCTTGGGCGCGTTCAAGCTTGTGCCTACGGGCTTGATAAGCTTCTCGTTTTCGAGATGGAGATTTGATCCAGCCTTCAGGCCAACTAAACGGCGAACATTCTTGGCAACCTCTGCAGCACAATGAACGCAATAATGAACCAAGGCTGAGGGCTTAGTTTAACAGGGCTCTCAGTAGAAAAAACTGATCATCCAGGAATCCCCCCCTTCCTCTGACAAAATCTCCACTTTGAATCAGCTGGTTCACATGTCTAAAAGTTCGCTCCACATGCTGATGCCCATACCGCTGCTGTTGGTGCTGTTCTCGCTTCTTTGGTGCGGAGTGCCTTCCGAAGCTCCTTACCCTTCGTGTCTACAAAGTCTTTCGTCTCCTGCTCTGTCAGCTTCAGCTTCACCACTTTCGACGCCAGGGCCTTCTCGAAGGTTTTAAGCACAGAAGTTTTATCAGTTTCTCTCCCAGCCGTCGGGCTTTCCGAGCTCAAATGCGTAGCTGAGTGCGTGGCCTGCGCCTGCTCGTCCTGGCTCTGCGTCTGTTGCTGTTGCTGCAACTCGTCTGCTTGCTCCTGCGCATGTCGTTCAGTATCTTTCTTTGCGTCCGCCAGAACTTCGGCAGTGGTGTTTCCGGCTTTTGAATGGAGGGCGTCCACTTCATCGCCCCCTTTGCCCTCTTCCTTGGGTTGATCTGGCGATGCAGAGCCGTCGGTTGTCTCCTGCGCTTCTTGAGTAGGAGTCACAGGTGTTGCTGGCGGAGCGCTTTCGCGTGCCTTTTCAGCAGTCGGCTCCTCTGTGTCTCGTGCGGCCTCACGAGAAAGCTCGTCAGATGGCCCTGCTGGGGGCTTTGGGAGAAGCACCTTCTCTTCAGGAGGGCTAGGAGACATCCACTCTTCGAATGGATTGGAAATAACGAATGCACTTGGGGTATTTGTGGAGGTGACCGACTTGTCGACAAAAGCGGGGTGCCTACTTTGCTGTTCCCATGCAGTGTCTGCGGAGGTTTGCGGGGCCTTTTTTAAGGCCCCAAAGAAGGCCCTGCGTCTGCCCGCACTCAAGTGATGATGCACCGGACGAATCAGGTGGTCCAGCTCTACTGCACTATTGCCTGCTTCACTTTCAAACAGGGGGAGACCGTCTTGCCATGAACTCTGGAGGGATGGCTCCATGGCAGCTTCGGGGGGCCTGCCGTTCGGGGCTAACCGTGCCGCCTCGGTACCTAGGAACCCTCCCGTATTCCATGGCCTGGAATTGGACGAGTAGGCGTACCCTCTGTGCTGTCTTGGCTGAATAAGCACATGTAAAAGACGAATTGTGCCGTAGAGTGTAGAGACGGTCTAAGCAGCATCGACAGGGCGACGGGAAGAGGGATATACGGGCAGCGACGCACAGAACGCGAGAGGCGAGCCCAAGGGCCCAGAGAAGAATACCTTGTGATATTTAGAAATTCACAAGAAAAGCACCAAAACGATGCTCGGGAAAATAGCTAGGGAGACAATTCAAGAGCAAGCAAAGATCTACACTCGATACGTCCCTTGCAACTGGCAACTTGTAGGGGTCCTTGTATCCCTTAAAGACAAGCAAGAAGAGCAAAGGCTAAATCAGATAAACGATGTAGATGTGCGTGATTCAGCAGCACATGCAATTCGAAGCAAGCCAAGATGCTACCACAGGAGTGGGTGCCAGAGCCCCTTCATAATGAGCAGCAGCAGGAGCGGAATTGCCCTAGCTTACTGATGCAGCGTCTCGTATAGGGATGGAGATCAGAATAAGGACCACATAGAACGTCAAAAAAGCCGCTACTGGGCGCAGCGCCCGCGGCCAAGTGGAAGACGACATGGGGTCCGTGTCTAGTTTGCATCAGCGAGGCGCATCTTCCGAGTGTCAACACTGTAGCTGCTGGACACACTCTTGATCGAAGGGCAGGAGAAGACAATAAAAACTGATCAGATATTGGAATGCAGCGTTTGCGCGAAGACCTGTTGACCGCGAGTTACTGCGCTCCAGCTGCTGCTGTCCTTAGTAGCTGTGGGTGCTTCGCTGAACCGTATTCACTGTCTTCCCCCTTTTCAGAGGTCCAAAACAAACGCTTATCAAGCTTTGCTGAAGAAATAAGGCAAAGAAGAAGGAGGCCCTCCTTAGCGGAACCGTTTGTTTACCCCGCTGCGGGAGACCCGGGTCCGACAGTTAGTCTCTTCGGCGGCAGCACAGCGGCTGCTGGCTGTTTCTCGCTCGTTTTGCGTAGCCTTGTGCTATGCCTCAGACATAACTTCATTGCCTAAATGTCAGAGCTTTCTCCAATTCCTCAGTACACAGAAGTCGCAATGTTTAAGGGCAACGCAAGCAGATCCAGCGGCAGGCCGCTTCTCGACGGTCCGCAAAACGCGGGAAGCGTGTGTCTCCTCACGAGGAAGCACAAATACTATGGCTGGAGCATCTTTTGCTGTCCGTAGCACATAACACACACAAGAAGCCTAGATTATGTGTGGTTGCTTCTTTTTAGACATAAGCATAGCAAAACCTCACGTCTTTACAGACTCTGAGAACATGCAGGTCACACCAATGGACGCGAGGGGTGGACTACCTCTACCAAGCAAAAACAGAAGCTCCGCCTTCTGTTTATTGAGAGCTAGACAAAATAATAAAGGAATAAATAAAACAATTGATTTTTGCGAGCATAACAGAGTGAGGTAGAGCAACACAAAAAGACTTTATCTTTGCGCCGTCCCGGTCTGCGGCTGTATTCCGCAACTGCAGCCTGCAACAAATGAACCGTTTCAGCTGCCCTTATAATACCATCGTACAAGTGAATCCAGACTCTATCTCTAGTGAGAGCAAGTGCGTCAGCAGACTCGATTGCAGCTACATAAGATCTTACTGATTTTCGTCCTTTTGGGGGGCATGTACATTGACCGCCCTAATTGAGAGCCAGCAAAGGCAATGATCTGTTCGTATATTAAAGCGTTTCTACCTCATGCCAATATCTTTTCTTCATCATTGCCATCTGGCACCATCCTTTTTTCCGCATTCCTTTTTTTCTCCTTTTCATTACTGATAGCTACAATACGCACAGCGGGTCAAGGTAGACTTCAGCAGCCACAACTACACCAGTAATATTGATACAGCTCCAGCAAAAATTAAGCAAGCTACCTTTTTGCTTCTGCCGTGTGTTTGCTGTAGAGCAGTGTTTGTTCATTACTGAGAAAATGAATGTCATTTGCCTGCGCACATCGCTTCGATTTTCACCTGTGCACCTTGCTCGCGCTGGCAGGTTGAGATAAACTTAAACACATTCTACTACACTAGTAAATTAACTGAGTCATTTGAAATGAATTAGTAGTTGGTTTATTTTTTCGTATATCTTATTTCTTGCACAGTATGATTTGCTTTGTATGAAGAGTCGCAGTGTTTGGCACGTCCTGTGTATACAATGTGAAGCTAAATGTAATTTATCGAAGAGCATGGAGGATGCAGTAACCCGCGTCTTCTCTGTACCTATCTGTTTATCTTGAACTCTGGGGAAGAGGGCCGGGGAATAAGGGGACTGTTTTAGAAAAACCCTCAAGAACTTTCCAGAAGATTTGTATTGGATGTGAAGTAAGCTGTTTCCCCCGGATATTTCATATGGATTGTTACAGCCCAGGGGTGCAGTTGCGCTTTGCCCTGCTGTTTTTCCTTGCCTATACGTAAATTCTATGGGGTGAGGGCAAGAAGAAAGTAGGAGCATTTTGGATAGATTGTGAAATAATATTCCTCTGGGGCCTTAGGGTCTCCCCATAAATTTCCTAGGATGGATGCTAGAAATATTAAGTCATTACTGAGGTCCAGAGCAATGGTTTCTAGGCCTCTAGACGTTTCCTTGACCTTCTAAACATCATTAAGACTTCAACGCACGAGAAAGCTTTAGAATTCCAATTAGGGCCATGTAGGGAAGGCGAATCTCCATTGCCACCGCGTGGCTTGGTACACCGGACGTGTCGTTGTAAGAGACTTTGGAAAGTCACTTGCATAGATTGCTGTGAATAGGCGTATGCTGCTAAGTGTATAATTAACTTAATGTGTTGAGCCTCCTGCCGGGATGCCTGCACATAGCCGATTGGAGAGAAATCGCTAGTGAAGGTCCCGATCGGTCGGCATGCCTAATATAGAAAAAAGTGCATTACCAACTGCTTGGCATGCGGAAATAAGGCAAGCTACAGCAAGCGTGACGGACCCATATGCACTCGTGCTTGTGCGCAACACAACATCCTCTTTCTGGAAGGCAAAACCAAAATCTCGGACCTTTCCATCTACTGCAGTTGACTCCCTACTCCTTTACGTCGCAAGAGCAACTTTTGCTAGCCACATATGCCTGCCCCCTGGTGGTGTAACCACTCACGGAGTGCACACGTTTTCCAGGGGGAGCAGGAAAATGAATGACGTGGGAGCTGGATGCTTTTGCAAATACGGTAAAGCTATTTTATTATCCCTCCCTGTTGCACAAAGGACTGCACCTCAACGTCAGCCCTCTCAGTAGGCTTCAGCCCTTGAGCATGTAATTCGGCTCTATTCCGCGTGCCTCTAAGGTCTACGGCCTCTTGTCCTGACAATCACAGAACAAAGCCAAGCCGAGAGATATTCAAACAAGGCAGTGCGGAAGGGATTCCACGAAAAACTCCCACTATACAGGTTGTTTATTTTCCCCACGAAGACCTGGTTTCTTTCTCACCCATGGACTCCTTCGCATTTATGAAAACGCGCAGGGGCTCTTTTTAAAGGCAATGACACACTGGAGGAAAGCTTGCAGCTATCTGATAGCTTGTGTTCCTCAAATATAGCCGTCTTCCAGAGAGTCGCGGCACCATAAAATATTATTCCTTCGAATATATCAAGGAGAGAACCCCCCTTCCACATCCGAAAACATTTGGGAAATGCTCTGCACATCATTCATAAAATCTATCCACTCATTGAAGCCACCTTTTCCCCCATCGTAGTTGAACTACGGTCCGTTTTGGGTCGGCATTTGTACCTACAACGCTGGGCCTCGCTCTCTGTCTGCTTCCCCTTCATTGAAGCTCTTTTTGACTGCCCCGCTGATTAAAAACCTGTGGTTTGTGCCCGTGTCTTTCTGCGTGCAAATTGGTTTTTTAGCGAACCCATAAATTGAGAGCGCTTTCTTCAAGATAGGCATTGGGGACGGGCAGAAGAGGTAGAGTCAGTAAGAGGCCCTGTCGCTAAGTCTAGCTTCATGTAAGCTCGAGGAAATTTTCTGTTCAGCTATCTAGATGCTCTACATGTGTGGCCCACAGCGGAGCGCTTTAGGGAGTCAGAGTGTCGGCCAACATCCAGATGATCGTGCCCATAGGTGGAGGGGCTCGACTCTTTCCCAAGTGGGCGAGCGGGATGCACAGGCTGCATGTCAGGTGAAACTGTGTCGTTCGATACGTACCAGCGGCTTTCTCAAGCTAGGGAAAGGGTGAGGGGCATAAAATAAGCTACAGTTCGTGCCATCTATAGGTTCTTCACTTTGAGATGGCCTCATTGTCCTGGCTAAAGACGCGGAACCTCCGCACATTTGCTTCTTAAACTTCAAGTGGTGCAAGGTTCGTGGAAGTTCCATAGCTTGTCTGCTTAATCACGGAGTCGCTGCCCATCCTGAACTATCTTACCTGACACTTTTTGTCGATTATATGTATACCACTGATACATCAACTGTTTGTCTACTTCGTGCTCTTCGCGAGCTGAAGCCTCATACTTCTCAACATACCAATCTTTTGGTGGATTCTTCGGGCTCAGCTTTCTCACTTCCACAGCAGCTTGCTTTTGAGGTCATATCGGCATAATCAGTGAGTCAGGGCTTGTATGGGGCTCAAACTCTAGCATTCTCTAAGGACAGACACCTGGATCCGCAAGAATGAACTGAGTATCAAAGCGCTTCCCCTGCCAGTAAACATCTACTCAGGATCATTCTATTATCCTTATTTTAAATGTACAACGCAAGACACACCGCCAACCGGCTTGTGATATCTTTGGGTATTTGCTAATCCTTACGGCCGTCTCACTTTTCTTATTGGTTTATGACCTTATCAACGCGCCCATAAAAAAATTCAAACACCTGAGAAGATCCTTGCCTTTCTACTAGCTGGAATGCTACACCGTCGACATTGACCTACAAGCCGGCCACTGCCCCCCAACCGTCATTGTGCCAGAGCCAACTTCCGTCTTGTTCCAGACGGCTGCGTAAGAAAATCATATTGTTGTTTCAAATAACATTATCGAGACCGGACACCTGTTGTAGAAAAACCTGACATCCCACTGCATCCACACCTAGCGGATAAGTGAAAATAGGTCAGAATTTAACCGTGCGGTGTTATCAACTGTACTGAAAGCGTTCATCCAGGGTCCGCAGAGGATATTTTAAAAACTATACACTCATTGTAAACTGTATAGAATGTAATTGACGTTTCTCAGAAAGACTTTCTCCTTCACTGCCAACGCCACCCAATATTGAAGGCATGAGAAAACAGGGCCAGCTGAGGTGCGCGTAGCTGCACACTCCGCACTCCGGGGATTTCACAGCTATTGACACACAGAATATAGCACTCACGCCAACTACTTTGCGTCTCGTCCTATCACTTGTACGGGACTCTGCAATAAGTGCGACATACAAATTGAAAATCTATATATTTAATACTTTACCAAATCTTTGTTGAATATCCCTAGTGCAGGAGAAAGTGTTCAAGTGCACCTTAGCCGGCTACTGTGAGACATGTGGATGTTAGGTTGCCCGTATTATTCATGATTTAGAGTCTGGAAACAGGATTATAGAGTACAGTAGCCTAAACGTTCCCGATAGCCCTAGGGGAATCGCACACTCGAATGGAAGCCTTTTCCGCTTGATGTGGCCATACAATAAGAAAAGAAGGGGCATTCCCAAAAGAAGTGTGGAAGAGAGCAAGGGAAACCTTACATGCATATTTTGTGCTGCGCACACTCTTTCCATTGCCTATCATATTTTGAAGGTCGGCAGCCGCTTTATTGGAAAGGATTACTGGCAGAGCAGCAGACCGCTGCCGACTCGGGGTACCCTAGACATACAGAGCCGGCAACGCAAATGCATGCAGGAGCGAGCAGCAGCAACGCAAACCCGAGTGCTTCTCGCTGAAGTACGCCGCTCTTCTTGTTTGTCATACGCTTTGGACACAGGAACTTGGATGCGCAAAGAGTGGAATTTCGCTGTCCGCGTATGACAGCTTCCCGTACAAAAGTCTTGCTGTGTGCCTTGCATTACCCTCTCTCCGTGCCTGTACATGTTTGCCTCACATGAATTTTTCTCTCTCCTTGCATTAGAAGACGTAAAGTAGGAGGATAGCTTAAACACGAGAGAGGCAGGTTCAGCAAGAAGCCTTAGGGTGCTGCAGTCGTGTAGAGAGCCGACCGCCGACACAACTATAGGATCGGCAACAACGGCACAACTTCGTCGACAGTAACGGTAACAGTAGCAACGACCTAATCAGAGGCAGAGGAATCCTAATTACTGGCAAAAAGGGTCGTCTAGGAGCAAGGGAAGAGGCCGGAGCACGATCGCGTCTTCTTCGAGGACCGCCTTTTACCCGGATAGTGGTGTGGGTACAATGCACAGGCCCTTCTGGAGGCACAATACGAGGCTTTCGATCCAAATGTTCAAATCCCATAAGAAGTGAAGAGGCGGGAACACTATGCCCTCAGCGTGAACCCGCCGTGCGTTGTTGCCGAAGAAACTCGACTACGGGAACAACGGCTACTCAGAGGCATTTATGGCTTGATTCTCGAGAGAAGCAGACGGCTACAACGGCTGCAGAAGAGGACACGGCAGCCGGAGCAGCCGGAGCAACTGCAGCGGCGACGAGACCGCATGTTCGCACGAAGGGTTTGTAGCTGCTGCTGTCGCGGGACGGAGCAGTTCCTTTCGTATGTCATTTCGTGCAGCATCGGGTGCTGTCTGCATTTGCAACAGCTGATACAACACGCTCAGCAGATTCTGACGCAGATGAAACCAGGAAGCTTCCCTCGTCGTCGCACGGGCTCAGCCTGGTGGCACCTATGGAGTGCTTCTCCTGCCCCCGCGCAACACCTGAAGGTTTTGTTCGTTGGTCGACGCTTTGCTGGAAAGACGGCTATGGTATACAGACTGAAGCTTGGGGCCTTCATTCCTACAAAGCCCTCCTTTGGCAGCAACACGTGAGCGATGCCGCAGCAGCAGCTGCCACACCCCTGTGCGGCTGTCCACTTCGCAGTGCCTGTCTCCGTGTAGGGCATCGACCCTTTTGTATAATGTCTGCATGTTGCTCCTGTAGAGAGCTCTGCCGCCACTGCATCTGTTACTTCTGCTGCTTCGTGCTGCTAGGGAGTTCTTCGTCCTCCGGCTAGCCCCCCAGGGTTCGTCTTATTCGAAGCCACGAGGAGCAAAGCAGCAGGCGGATGAGGAGCTGCTAGGGGCCACTGCCTCAGACATTGAGGCTCCCACAGCGCCTAGTAGCAGATGCGCAAGGCAGGGCAATGCAGTGGAGATAGAAATCTGCGATGTGGCAGGATCCGATGGCGAGCAGCTCCAGTGGCAGGGACTGCAGCGGGTGGGCTGTGCGGGTGGCTTTGAACCCCCTTCTCTTCAGCTCGCACGCGTTTTTCCACCTGTGTGTCTTCTTCCAGGAGCTCTTGCTGCCCCTTCACTGATGGCTTTTGTGTCCAACAGGCTACCCGCAACGTGCTCCGTCTTTTCCTTGAAGCGACTAAAATGTGTTTTTTCCTTCACCGTGCCCGTGCGCTCTGGTTCTTCGGCCACCTTGAAAGCTTTCGCTTCCCACCGCTCGCGGCTACATCCTGCACACCTCTCAATCTGTGCGTCCATTTGCGCCTTAGGGCTGCGACTGTGTGTGCTTCTCCCTCGACTCCGCCTCCCGCCCCGCGGCGCTCGAGGAGGCTCGCAGAGAATTGCTGGAGCTGTTTTTCGATGAGCATTTTGTGCTGCACCGAGACATCCCCTTTCTCGTTCTCGCCACTAAACAGGTATTCTATCGAGTCCCCTCACCCTTTAGCTGCTCGTCTTCCTCAGCTATTTTTATGCAGCATTCTCTTCACGCTGAGCCCGTTTACCCCCGCACTTTTGCATGCACCTCTCTGTAGACGCGCCACTCTCAAGAGAACCAAGGAAGCCTCTCTGCGGTCCTTCCACGCACATCCTTCCGCCGCATCTAGCTATTTGTTCTGCTGCCTTGGAGTCTCGAGCTCGTGTGCTTGTGAGCGCTCCAGGCAGCGCACACTACTGTTGCGCATTGGTTTCTCTTTCCCCCATGCCCCTACCAGGCGCTAGCTCTTCCACGCAGCATTGTGAAGCTACAATCACTCTTATTTGATGAGCCCCTCTAGGGGCCTTCTCTGGGGCCTACATATACACCTCTCTGCGCTTCCGCCTCATTTTGTCCCTTTCTGGCTACCTCATGCGCCATGTTGCTGTCTATACTGCGTCCACAGGACCTCTGCAACGCGCGGGAGCCACAGGACATAGAGGAGTTTCTGGCCCTGCCGGAAGAAGTCGAACAAAAGTAGGCCATGTGTTGAGGCATTTTCGCTTCACATGGCCGCTTTTTCTTCCAGTCATTGTTGGATGTACTGGCGCCCGCCGACGCCCTTTTAACGGTCTGCCACAGTTATGTCGGTATCTTTCTCTTTATATGACTCCCACGTGCAAATTCCTTGGTTCTGTGTGTCTCCCACATGGCTCTCCTACGCTGCAGATGTAAAGTTGTAGGGTGCAGCGCCCTTTCCGGGCTAGGCGTCTCCGAGGTTGAGCAATGGCTTGCAGCAGTGGCAACAGCGGCAGCAAAGCCGAACAGCAGGTATTGGACATCCCACGTTCCTCCTCAACGGCTGCGGTGCGATAGCCGCGGATCCGCAAGTGCGTACGACGCCAATAGTTTAAGTGGGCGGCGCGATGAGATGTTGGGGCCTTTCGCAGTAACAACCCCACCCGCGAGAACAACAACTCATTGCACCTCGCACATCGGAGTAAGTCCCTCAGGCTCCCGAAAGGTGCCTCCCTCCCCTCCTCCCGCCAAAAACAAAATCCTTAGGGGCAATGCACGCATTTGGTCTGAACGCAGGGATGCGAGAAAGCCGGAAACTGCACAAAAAAAACTAGAGACAATGAATATGACACAAGCGCAAGCAACAACGGTTGCTGCATCCCCCTTTGAGTCTATAGTGGGATGCATGTACGCTGTGAACAGGCGGAGGCACCCACCAATCCCTCAGTCGAGGGACTTGCAAGTGGCCCACCCCCATGGCCCCCTTCAACAGATTCCCGCCAGACATCAGCGGGAGGAGACCCCGTGGTGGCTGCCTCCTTTTCTGCTCTGTTAGATGGCTTTTCTCCACCAAGCGAGAAGCCCGCGGGGGCGTTACAACACCAAAATTCATTTGAGGGAATACCCCTTGATCTGCTGGCTGCGCAAACCCTCCAGCCGCTGCCGAGCGTCTCCGGGAGTTCGCCTCTGTTAGAGGGGTTGTAAAAGGCTGTCACGAAGCTTTTCACTATAGGAGCAAAGGTCAAAACATAAATTAGGAATTCAGCGTTGTACAGATATTGTGGACAGCACCAGTGTCTTTTTCTGTGCGATGGGCTGCAATGTATATGCGATACCCTCACATCCTTAAGGGCTTGCGCCGTGCCTTCATAGCGGCGTCGGCTCGTTGGGCTGCAAGGGGCAGCCCCTTCCTCTCTGCCCTCTGCCCTGTTAGCAGAAACACACACATGGCGCTCCGCAGCTAAACAGGTGATTCTTCTTGAACCCCCCAGGGTACTTTCTTGGCTAGGGCTAGTCTACTGGTCATTGTGAAATAGAGCCAGAGATAGATGAAGAATATTTACCCTGGAGAAATTGTGATGGGGGGCCTCCTGGCTGTGGCTCATGAAGGGCCTCCTCTCCGTACGCTTCGGCCTCTCCAGAGTAATCCCCCTCCGGCTGCGCTGCTTCTTCCTGCCTGCCTAACATCTCTGCCTGTGCCTTTTGCTGCTGCCTTTCCCACTCGGCTGCCGCCGCTGCTTCTGCCGCCGCTGCTCGTGCTGCCGCTGTTTGTGCTGCCGCTGTTTGCGCTGCCGCTGTTTGTGCTGCCGCTACAGCGGCTTCTGCAGCGGCTTGCCGTCGTTCCTCTCGCTGCTGTCGCAGCCGCAGTACCTCTTGGGAGGGCTTGAGGAAAGCAGGTGCTTTGCTCTGTCTCCATCCGGCTAACTGGTTGGCTGGCAGCTGCCGTTCGGCCTGTAAACTGTGTATAAGGTCAGCCTGAGAGGCCCCTGCATACGAGCTATCGATGCACAGGGAGTCTCCCCTAAGCAACTGCTCCTTACGGGGACACGGGAGAGCTTCCGGCCTTATCTTAGGCCTCCCTAGGCAGAGACGTGCCGAAAGAGGCCAGTGGTCCGATAACTCCTCCCCATACCGCTGGGCCACGATATCCATTCCTTGAAAGCAACACGAAGGCAGGCAGTATAAGCAGCAGCTACTACAGCTGACGCAGCTCCAGCAAACATATCAATTGCACGGAAAGGCCCAACACGGCATCTTGATTAGAACAAGGATACATTTACATGTATTCGTTCATTTTACCGCCAACAAAAAAGCAAACTAGAGTTCGGCTCTGTCCTACCCAAACAACTAATCTTATCAAAGGAAATAACGAGGCCCCCGTCTTTGAGGATTGGAATGTCCAGCTCTTCGAAGTCCGGTCCCACAACTTCCTCAGGAGGGAATCGATCCACCAGAGAAAGAACTTCGTCCGGCTTGAGGTACAGACTGTCTACTGCAAACATGTAGTCTACCCGCCCTGAGTACGGAGAGACGGGGATGCACACGCAGATATAGAGCAACATCTGTGACAGAGAAACCCCCTGCACCCATGCAAAAGTTGCTGCACCAGCTTTCCCGAAGTCAAGTTCTCTGCAGCTGAAGAGGCCGGCGTACAGCATGATGGGAAGGGAAAACCCCGATAAGTTACACACAAGATATCGCGACGCACAAAAAAAAGGAATGCCCCAATATAATGTGTTCCTTGACAAAGAGCACACGCATGTGTTGTTGCGAATGGAGCAAGTATTCTCAGACCTTACATTTCCAGAGTGACACAGCCGTGTATTAAGTCCCTTCTTACCCTGAAATGGCCAGGGGAAGAGACTGTTGCCAGTAAACTGTATTGATCCGTCTTTCCGCTTTATCTCCTGCCTCCCCTCTTGTGACACATGCGTGTACTGCGCTGCGTAATTCGGGTTGTTCTCCTTGATGAATAAATCTCTCAACTCAGCGCAGCCCCCCAGTGTACACAGCTTTCGGTAGTCCTTTGGACATTTTATGGGGTCTAGGTTAAAATCCCCCAAGAGTAGCACCGCCGTATCTGCGACCAAAGACGGCGGTGCGTTCGGGCCCCCGCTAGCCCCCGCCGTGCCCGCTAGCTGCCTGGCTAGCCAGTGCAGATACTGTTTCCAGACGACCTCCTTGCAGAACCTGCTGAGCTCGTCCAGGTTGTGGGAACGGGGCTTTTGCCCCAAGACACTGAAGTGAGTCCCGATTAAGACGAGTCGCTTGCCACGGAAAACGTTGGAGACATCGAGCTCTACCACCGTTACATTTTGATTAGAGAACGGAACTCGGGAATCTGAACCAAACAGCTGGCGTTCCGTCCTTAGAAGGCTGCACTTGGACAGGCGCCAAGCAAACCACAAACCCCCGGTCTTTCTGGTGTACAACCGGACGGGATCGATCAACTCCCCCAACCACGGGATGCCGCTGCCCGATTGCGTGTCCGGGAGAATGTTGTGCGTGGGTAGCACTGTGGAGTTAAGGCCCACAAGATTCGTGCCCCACACTTCTTGCAGACACACCACGTCGAACTGTGCAGCCAGACGGCCAATCTAGAGACATAGACGCACAGTCGAAGGGTAGAACCCATGGAGGAGACATTCACCAGTCGGAATCATAAGCAAAGAACTGAAGGGGCCAGAAGATAATCATTGTAAAGCACGCGCATGCCTTGATTTAATTAAACGATGCAGACACTGAGTGTCTAAAGGAAAACAGAGGGACAAAGAAGCCACAGGAGTCCTCAAAATGCACATGGAGGCTCGGACAGAAAGTACATTTTCTTGGAGAACTTCTAATTTAACAGACTTATCGCAGTGTTCCGTGATGGAAAGAATTAAACACGTACTTGCTCGGCTCTAGCTTGAGGCCTCTTGCAGCTCCAAAAAGGGGCCCATAAATATGGATTCCAAGAGATAATAGGGGGTATAAGGTAAGCGTTCAAACACAACACCGAGATGTGTGGACCATACATCTCGTCCAAGGCTGCTTGAGCTCCTGGGCCGGAGGGTGGGGGCGGCCTTCCGTGAGTAGCTGCGGCAAGAGAGAGCGGTAAAGAATACAAGGGGAAAATCAATACAATGAGAAGAGAGATTCAGGTAAAGCCAGACCGATCATTTGAAGTTGTTTAAACGTCGTTTAAGGGGAATAGGCACAAGAGGAATGAAGACAGATGCTCCGCAGAGCAGAAAGGGGCACGGGGAAACATGGAAGCATCCTCTCCCTTCCACAACATAGAATGTTCGATGAGAAACTCACGGTAATAGGAAGGGCGCGATGAGCCTTCTGAAGAGGCACTGCTGCTTTTGCTGCTGCTTCCATCGCTGCTGAGGCTGCTGGTGCGGCTGATGCTGCTGCGATGATTGGGAACTGTGCGGCTAAGCCTGGGGCTTGAGGTTGAACTTAATGAGGGAGAAGCGCGAGCAGAAGATGACAAGAGTAAAGAGGAGGACGAACGGGCACCCCGAGCGGGCATAGGAGACGAAGGGACCATAGAGCTGCGCCTTTGCCCCTGCATTGTCAATTGTTGGAACGTGTTCGCTGTGGGAAGGCGGGGAGACAGGCTTACGAGAAACACTAGAACCAGAGACCGCCAGGGAGTCCCATATACCCCGGGCCTTGCTGAACCACAATGCAAGAAATTTTGGGGTGGAAAAAAACTCCTAGGACATTTGATAAGAAGGTTTGTAATAAAATATCGATGCTATATTGTCTAAAATGGACAGTTAGATGAAGTGTGACTTTTTGATCTGGCGCGCCGTTTCGGTCTCAAGAAAGTTGGGGTGCGGATGCGAATAGAGAATGGCGAAATACATGAATGAGCCACCAATTAAGCTTAGGTGGCATTTAAACAATAAAAAAAACAAATTAAATAGATTCGAGCAGCGACTTTGGTTCGTAGGGCTTCGATTCAAAAGCAAACCTCCCATGGGCCTTCCGCCTGCCAGTGGACCGCAGACAAAGCATCATACTCTCCCCTGTCCAGCGAAGGGGCCCAATCCTCTGTTCTGGAAACTTGTTTTCTGACTAAGAGTATTTCCGCATTTTTGATGTTGTAAGATCTACGTTTTCGTCGGTTCTGTTCTACGCACTGGTACTTCCCCCTTTTCAGTGTATGTGTATGGTCAGGCACTTACCCCCTTACCACGCACGCATACAATCACGCAGACAAAACACATACATCGAATCAGTCATTTTGATCAAATAAGATAAAGCAAAGACGCTCTGTATGTATGTGTATCTGAAGGAACGCATAGCTTCCTCTGCAACCCACTGATACCCGCCTTGCGCGACTACCGGAAAGCTGCCGCTGCTGGTTGAGGAGGTGAAAGTGCACTAAGAGTCCAAGCTTAATTTGTGTGCGATCAAGAATTGTTCAAGAGCTGTCTCTCAAGAGTGTAGTGTGAAGTCAAGTGTCTCCCAGCGGAGACCTTTTATGAAGCGCGATAGCTTTCCCTGCCTGCGCCTGCGCCGCACACAGTACCCGATAACGGCAAAAGTACAGCTAGGAGGTGCATATTGACAGCCTCTAAGCACTTCGAGCAATCAAACGTATCTGCACATATTATCTAGTGCACACGTACACAACATTGCGCCTTATGTAGACAGCTAAAATATCAACTTTAAAGCCTACTGGTGCGCCAGAACGTTTGCAAGTGTACCGTAACCCGAAACATCCCTTTTAAAACACAATTCCTCGCGGTTCGTGCTTATATATAATCTATAAGTAGGACAGCGGCAGGGTTTCGAACTTATCCCCACCCTCCTAGCAGGAAGAAAAGCGGAGCGGGCCCAGTGAGGGAAGCAGATGCGTGCATCCATTGCTAAAACGGAAATCGGCTGGACTAAGAACGCAGAAGACCGCTGCAACACGACGGCGGTGGCACAATGGCTCGCTGCAGTCGGACTGCCGGTGTGTGGGAGGCACCCGCTATAAGAAAACAGTGAGATGTGTAGAGGAACTAACAAATATACTTGTTAAGCAAAGCCGTCGCGCTTCATAGAGTAGACTCAGCGTGCAAATGCAGCCGATGCATCCAGTATAGCCTATTGCAAAACCCCAAAAGAGGCATAAGACAGATTGTCAAAACAACATATCGTAGAGTAGTTGTGCATAAATCTAGGTGTAGAAAATATCTCAACGATAACAGGCAGCTTTTCAAGGAATTGTATTGGGTGAAAGTATTAGATTAAAACAGTACGTGCTCTAGGGAAGACCAGTTACCAAGGAACGCAAGGCATGCCGTCCATGGCAACTACCTGCGTGAACCAAACAGAAACGAAATAAAATTATCCCGCAATCAGCGGCGCCAGCAACAGCTCCTCGGTCAACCACCAATGTTGGCATTCCCCAACCCTTTTCATTAAGAAATTCCGTAGAGCATGTCCTCGGCACACATCAGTCCTACAATTCAACACTCTTGCAGTGTCCTGTAGATTCTCCGCTTCCACACGCGGTTGACGTGCCCTCGCAGCAAGGTCCGCGGACAATTCGGAGAATTAGGAAGCTTTAAAAGGAGCCAGAACTTAGCAGTTCTGTAGCACCTTCAATTTTTATGAAAATTGGCACTGTGAGGCAGATGGTTAGTTTGCGAAATGAAGATAATTGGTCCCAGAAACCTGGCATAAAGAGCCCTCGTCTGGTTGCCCCCTGGCGCTTCTTGTGCAGCTTGACGACTCACCAAAGATAAAATTTTCATGCTCGGAACATACTACCAGCCGCCGCTTAATATAATTCTGTGCTTGTATCTCTTGTGGTTTGCGCACTCACTCGCATGGACCAACCAGCTTTCCTCTAAATTCCTCCGGTGCTAAGAGAGCCTGTTGTCTCCAGATCACTAGGTCCAGGCGTGTATCAAAGAGAGACTCCTTAATGTCGGCCAAGAATGCCGGAGAGCAGCGGTTAGGCGAGTCTGCTATTGCATTATAAACCACTTGGCACAGGGAAGAATGTCAAGCCACGGAAATGGATGCTTGTAAGCATGGAGTCGCATTTCTTGCAGACGGGTACCGTCGGTCCGCCTTGTCTGTCCATCTGCCTCAGGGTGGTCGCAGTGCTAATGCATGATCAATGTGTATCGGCGTTACAGAAGCAGTCCAGAATGCACTTGAGTACTTCGGGTTTCTCGTCTTAGCAGTATACCTGGAGAATCGATGACGATTTCAGATATTACTGATGAATAATTGGGCAGCACTCTGAGCCACGACACAGCTGGAGCAAGGAATGAAGTAGGCCTCTACTGTGTCTCTTTTCAACGACGCAGATGCTATCCTAATCCTTGATCCCAGGCAGTCCAACAATAAAGCTCATAGTAAGGTAGGTTCAAGCCCTTTCAATAGCCTGAAGGCTAGGCAAAAAGCTGAGTTTGCAACAAGTGTGCTGCTGCAGTTGCCGACAATTTGGGCGTGAAAGTGGACACTTCTCTGCCGCTGGACACATCTACATGCCAAGAAATAGCGTGCTGGCTTTTCCACTGTAATATGCGTCCCACCTTGGCCCGAAAGAATATGATCATGCGCTTTATGCAAAACGGCGCTGCTGAGCCAAGCTGGAACGTACAGGTCCTTCTCAAAACAGCAGTGCTTTACTCTTTTGCCATTCTGGGGTTTTGCAATCGTATTGGATGCATGGGTGCTTTGAAGGTATAAGGCGTACGCCATGCCGATACAAACCATGAATTGTCCTAGATGACAGCCGGTGCGCCGCACAACAGCGAATAGCTGGAGCTTCGCGAGAGCAGCCCCAGCAACTATGTTGGTGCCGACCACGTTGGCGATGCCCTGGACATCCTTCGTTGTAAAGGCACATTGCGAGAAAGACCTAAGCAAGCGGAAAAGTATAGGGATATCGACCTCCTAAAAAATCGACCTAGGCATATTGGAGACTGATGGCCGGTCTGAGCAGGAAACCAAAGTCAGTTCAAATAGTGCTGGTATGCTTTGATGTCCTGCCGCAGTGCACAGAGCTCGTTTCCCACAGTAGATAATGCTCCCCTACTTTGTGGAGCAACAAGAATAACGACAAAACTCTAATGTGGAGGGTGGAAATTTCTTTTCTGTGTGTTGGGAGGAAAAGTAATCAGCACTACGTCACTAGCCTTAGTTGTGAAAAAGAAACGACACTAACAATTGGAATCTGTGTGTATCGGAGGAGTTTAAACGTAGCCGACATGCATCCTTTGATGTGGCACCAGCTTCCTCTGTCTAGGTAACAGATTGAGACGCTTAAAATGTATTAGTTAAAGTAGCTCCCAACAGAAACATTCAGAAATTAAATGTTCGCACCAATATGCAAGTCCCTGCACTTTTTCAACCTCCTTGGTGTGCTAAAAGGTAAAGGCCACGCCTTTATTGCCTCAATCTTGCCGAATCTGGCTCAATCACTTTAGCCAAAAATAGGATTCCAGACAGACAATTATTCTTATAAAAGCCAAACACTTGCTTGCCTGCACATATCACTGATGCTCCGGCAACAGCTGGTCCGCGCGGTAAGTGCTGTATGTATTCTTGAATGTTTTGGCTACGGACTAGGGCGTTGTCGATGTAGACAGCCATTCGCTTCTCCCTGATAAACTCCTAAAGCTTTGGGCTGACTTGAGTTTGGAGCCCAGGCGGGGCATTAACAACTTCAACGGCCAGCTGTTACTTCGAGTTTGCGAGCGCAAGTGTGGCACGCCGTTTTGTGCCAGTCGTGAGGGTGATTGGGGATTGTAACAAAGCGTCTATGAAGTCAGATGCCGAGTCACCTATCGATCCATGTAGTCTATACAAGTATTTTTTTCAGCATGCGGCATCGAAAATTTCTGCGCAATAAGCTTCTCCTTGGACTCGAAGCTAACACACACGTACCACCTACCAGCATATTTCGATTTAATCACCGGGTAGTGCCAAACCACTCTGGTCAGTTCCCGCACATAAATTTATCCAAAAGGTCTCCGCCTGCTTCCCAATTTCCCCTTTCCGCTGTCAGCACCTTCAACACTGCACGGTATATTTCGAGGCTGATCCAAGGACTGGCTCCATGCAGTGCGGCCATACGGCCAGGAAGTGTCCACCTTACAGGCAGCTCGCCAGTACTTTGCAGTCACGGATTCTTCAGTGAGAATCGCGTACTTCTAATGTTCCTTGGGAAATGTGCTTGACTGCAAGAAGCTCCAGAGGGCAACCAAGCAAAGACGTTTACTCCAGGTTTTTAGGAGCAATCGTCTTCGTTTCACGAACTAATGTTCTGTCGCACATGATCAATTTTTGTGAAGTTGAAAGCGTAACGGACCCGCCAAGTTCTGATTCTTTTTAAAGCTTCCTAGTTCCCCGGATTGTCCGCGGACCTTGCTGCGAGGGCACGTCAACCGCGTGTGGAAGCGGAGAATCTACAGGACACTGCAAGAGTTTTGATTTGTAGGACTGATGTGTGCCGAGGACACGCTCTACGGAATTTCTTAATGAAAAGGGTTGGGGAATGCCAACATTGGTGGTTGACCGAGGAGCTGTTGCTGGCGCCGCTGATTGCGGGATAATTTTATTTCGTTTCTGTTTGGTTCACGCAGGTAGTTGCCATGGACGGCATGCCTTGCGTTCCTTGGTAACTGGTCTTCCCTAGAGCACGTACTGTTTTAATCTAATACTTTCACCCAATACAATTCCTTGAAAAGCTGCCTGTTATCATTGAGATATTTTCTACACCTAGATTTATGCACAACTACTCTACGATATGTTGTTTTGACAATCTTTCTTATGCCTCTTTTGGGGTTTTCAAATCGACTGTATTGCACGCATCGGCTGTGCTTGCACTTAGAGATTTCTCTATGAGAAGCGGATTCACCACGGACTTAGTTTAGTCTTAAGTTCCTTCATGCATGTGGTTTCCGTTTTCTCGCAGCGAGAGGCTGGCGCATTTCAGGTATCCGACGGAAGCACGGATTCGCGCCACCGCTGTCGTGTTGATGTGGTCCCTCAATTGTTTCCGACTATTGTATGTGTCGTTATAGCCATCAATTAAGCTCAGGAGCTGCTTCACAGATCTGCTTCCTTTACTCGCACTGTCTCTCGCTTGTGCTTGCCTGGAAGGGGGATAAGTGGAGAACTCTGCCGCTCTCAAACATGTAGGCGATCTCGACGCACAGGCACAGAACACCAAAACGTCTGCTTTGAACTGCTTGGGGAAAGATGTAGGTAGCTGAACTACGCATGAACACGATCTACTGCAGTAGTGGTACTCTACTGAGAACTGCTAAATTTTGACAAATTGGTTTGCCTGCTTGTGTAATGAGTTTGCCACAGCAGAGTATTCTCACCTCAGTAGAAGAGTACGCAATGCTGTGCGCATGTATGCTTGCTGCTATGCTCAAGTAGCTTGGAATGCTCGGAGTGCCAAGAGGCGGCCACTCTGCAAACACTAGCTGTCCTTCTCCCCTCACGTCGGGAACTCTGAGAGGCGAGGGCAGGGGAATGCCCGAGTCCTATAAGAGACAATCAATAACATTATATTCACCTCCCACTGAGTCAGGAGTTAAATGCCTCCCTACAGATGGCATTGGTGAAGCGTTACAAGACTGCTGTTCCTGTGGATTGCCCCGTCACACATCCCTCCTCTAGCAGTGATGAATGAGTGCACCGATGCTACAGAATGTGCGTATGCTGCTAAGTGGGGCATGGACTGTGGCTCATGGACACTCAAAGCCAAGAAATCGACGGGGTGCAGGAGCCAGCTTGAGATGATATTCTTCTCTTTTGCGGGTAAGAACTCAAGAGAGACTTGGTCCTTCATTCTGTTCAAGTTGATGCTTCATGCACTAAAGCGACACTGGCGGGAGGCAAGGTTGCCCCTTCTCTGCGTGTGCGATTGATTCCACTGCCGTGAGGCGTGGTCGCTGCCAGCCTGAGTTCTGCGCCTTCTCGCTTCGAATTCAGTCTCACTGGAGCACATAGAGGTACCAGTTAGCATGTATGACCAACAGGGCAGCACAGCATGTGCAGGAAGCAAACGATGAACAGTCTTTAAATGGAGACACCGGAAAAGACCACTGCGCTAAAGGTGTGGGGCCCCCAGCTGGCTGCATGCGCTTTCAGGGCCCTAGTTGAGCACCCTTCCAAAAGCCTATATGCTGTGATATCTCGCTCGGATCTTTATCCTTTTTCAGGGCTTGTTTTGCTTCAAGATGCTGAAGGCATCAGAGGCCCTATGGGAAGACGGGAACAGTAGAAGGAGCCCAAGGCATTCAATGGTCATCGGTCCCCCTGTCTTTGCAACTTTGCGCAAATCCCCAAGAACAGGTAAGCTTCACCCTTATCATGAACCTCACCTGCCTCTTCAGTGCCCCTCAATATTCCCTCCTTCGCCTAGACGTAGACGGCAGCGAATGGGCCCTACTGCGAACTGCCAGGGGAATCCAGTCCGCGTATTATCTCAGTGCCCCTATATAATATCCTTCTCTTGTTTCTCCTTGCATCCCCCTTGGCTTGCCAGCGCTGGGCTCTCCCCTGTGCGCCATTTCTTGAGCTTTGCTCGCAGTAAGCCTGTGTTTTTCCATGTGTGGTGCTTCCCCATCTCTTGGCTTGCCTTGGAAACGTTGAACCTCCGCCGTATCCGGCTATTTGAGGTTCGAGCAGCGAATTTTCCACACATCTTGTGGTCGTCTGCATGACATTGCATCCGCCGGTGCAGGTCCCAAGTAAAGTTCACTAGCAGATCTAGAGGAGACGAACACGGCAGCAGTTGCGGCAGCAGCAGGAGGCGCAAGATGGAGACTGATTTGTTGCAGCAGCTACATGACGGACTGAGTCAGTCCAACAACCGCAGGGGCCGTCAGGGCGGCTTGGGGGGCGTAGCTGGGCAAAAGGATACACAGAACTCGCATTGTTTTTTCAATGAAGACGGTGACCTACACAAGCCCAAGTATAATCCTGTCACCACCCTTTTCCCTTCTGCCCTCCTTGATTTTGGCCTGCTTCATCTTGTTAATCTTCTGTTTATGCCGCGATTGCTGTCGCTGGTACTTCGTTCTGTCCGTGTTTTGCCGTTCCTGCTTGTCGTCAACTTCCCTGACGGCTAAGTATCTTGTACTTCTATCTGAGCCCCTTACTTTCTCCATTCCCCTACATCTGAAGGCGGTTCTTTCTAAACTGCGCCTTTCCAAGGTGCACCGGATTATCCTGCGTCCTAGTGCTGCCCTGGTTAAATACAGCCGTAGCCACCATGTACCATCGACGCTCTCTAACGCGCGAGGAAGCAAAGGTCTTTGTGCAGTGCTGTTTGCCATTTTGCCGGTTCTCTGTAGCGGACTCTACGCGAACTTTGTCAAAGGCGCCACGCTCGGCGCATGTAAAGGCAAGTCGTTCTGCTATTGCTGCTGCTTGCGTCCTTGTTGCCTGCCCGGTGTCGCGTGTCGGAGTGTGGGGTGCGGGACATGTCACCAGAGAGCATTGGGAGAAGCGAAAAGAGGGAAGAAGAATCGCAGTCTTCCCTGTGTCGTGTTTATGCTTGTTCCTCCTATTTGCAGACAAAACGTGCACTATCATTAAAGCAAAAAGCAAGATCCCGCAAGACGATTCGGAGGAGGAAGCGCCTCCAGCATCAGCAGGTGGATCGGCTCGCAGGACGAAGGCGAAAGGCGCATGTGTTGAAGTCGATGCATCAGGGTGTACAGACACTGAATCGGTAGAGACGGAGGCCTTATCCAAAAAGCGCAAGAAAAGAAGGCAACCGGACGGATCGTGCAGCAATGACGATTCCTCCGCTGCTGATCCAGCTGCGCTTGCCTGCGTTTCAGAGGCTCTTGCATGCGGAGGTTCCCTCCTGCGGATAACTATGCGGGGAGGACGGCAGTCCCTAAGAGAGCATCTGAAGGCTGTTCTTCCTCGCTGCTGCCTTTTTCACGTTGTCGGCGGTTGCGGTGCAGTAGATGTGCTACTGCAGCGAGGCACAGATAGGGGCACTCTTCGACAAAAACGTCTCCACGTAACCCATATCCATGGAACCTGCAATTTACGAGACGGTAAGAGGCCTTCTTGCTGCAACCAAGCTTGATGGGCAGTTACCATCTTGGGCAATCCTCTCTGTGCCAAGTAACGGTGGCTCTAGGCCTTTCCTCTTTAACCTGCTTATTTGGCTTCTTCTGTTGGTCTTGCAAAAGTGAGGATCGGATTCTGATGGCGATTACTAGCTTCGTATGAAGTTGAATGTCTTCTGTTGACTCTGCAGTGCGGGGGCTTCCATGCAGCATGCCCACAGCCACCGATTGTGTCTTTCTTGTGCGAAATGCATGTTGTCTGTTCTCTGCAGCTGACGCCAACTGGCCGTCCCTTACCGGCCTCTTTCAGCCTAAGGAAACAACCAAAGAGCTCAAAGAGCAATACATTAATGCGACATTCGGGGTAATACATGCAACCGTGACTTTCACATAGCTAGCTGGGCGTTCCACTACTTCAGCTGGGAATCCAATCGGAATAGCCCTTTTAGCCAATAGCAAATTGATGTTTTGTATGAATGCCATATGCATATATGTCCGGCGTTAAGTGCTTCCTTTTGACAGTTTGTGTATGCACGCTTTCCGGTGGGTGGTGGTCAAACTTCTGCAGGTTGACGACTTCGTTGCTGGAGGCCGGGACGTTTGCGAGATTTGGGGCTTTGCCATAGACAAGCGTGGCGCATGCATCGCTCCGAGTTCCTGACATTGAGGGCTTCTATTCTCTCACCTGGCCCCTTTTTATGTGAAGGACGGCCCCTCATGAAGGCGAGCACCCTACATAAGGTCTCCAGGGACTGAGGGGCCTTGTACGGGCCTAACTAGGAGTCATTAATGCACATGGTCTTGATATTTGGTTGCTTTCGTGAAGCGCTTTTGGGTTGTTTTGATTGTGATCCAACTGCTTCTGTATTGTGGCTCTTGCCGCTGCTGCAAGCGCTCTCGTTGCTGCCGTTTATGCGGTCTTCTGTCAGTCTCCTACAAAAATATCCTCTAGTGAAGTGCGCCTGCAGAAAAGACACATCCTTGTTTGCTGCACGATTGTCGCCAACTGCTTCTGTCCCTGTCTTTCCCTGCAATCCGTGGCTACACGCCTTGTACACCTCCCCAAAGGCCCCTAGTGCCCTTTAGCTCGAACCAGCCTAAACAGTCAGTACAAGAGGTCAACTCTCATTTCTTGTAGGGGTCTCCGCGAAGCAGTATTGGCAAAGGATTTAGGGCCCTCCTTGCATCCCCAAAACCTTACCCTTCTCGCAAAAGTCGCTCTGCCCGTTGCACCTCGAAGTAAAAATGTTCAGAGCCTGCAAAGTCGCAGCGGGGGGCCATGAAAGTAACGTCTCCATTCCATGCTAAGGCATCCGCCCCCCCCTTAAGGGTCGTTGTGAGGTACAGCATCACACAGGGAGCACGTTCAACGATTTGAAGAGGGGACCGAAGCACAAGAGGAGCATCTAAACGTAACCTTAGAAGGGTTTGCAGTTTGTTCTTTGTTGGGATTCTCTAGGGCTGAGTGTGGCCTGCTTTCCTTCCCGCTGTCGAACTAGGCGTATTCTATGTGTAGATACGGTAGATAGGCCGATGCATGCGCTCGGGTGAGTAAGTCTTTTTGTGTGCATTAATGAAAATGAGGATCAGAGGTTCTCCTCTCCCACCTGGAGGCTTGCGGAATTTGTGAAGCCTTCCAGCATCCATCGGATCTTCCAGGGTAACACCAAGGGGTGGCACCTGCGGGGTGTCTGAGCCATAAATTAAAGTGAACAGAGAGTCGCAAACCCTCGGAATGTATCCACGAATGCCCAAGCCCCCCAACCGTCACAGCGCCGCAGCAATCCTCCGTAAACATACAACGCGTCAGAAAATATAATACCGTCAGGCTTCTCGGCACACGACGGGCTAAACAAGGCTAAAAACGATACCCATACGAGTGGCATGCAGCTTGAAGTTGCCTCCTGACCTGCACATTGGCCTTTTAGGCCTCTAAGGATCAGCTCTGAGGGTACCCCGAGGGGCTGGCCCCCAACAATTGCCGTTCCCCACTGCTCTCGCTCCAGAGAGCCTCCAGGCCTTCCGGCCCCTACGGCAGCACTGCTGGCGGCTACCGTGCTGTTGATCACAGCGATGCCTTCTCCTTTACCTGAGTTTAAAGCTCGCGCTGCGCCTGGGGCTGGTGCTGGTGCTGTCTCAACCATCGCGTCACCTGCTGCTCTTTTCATCCCCGGCGCATATGCCTTGTGCCTCCACACCCCTCTGCTTCTCTCATGCTGCATGGCGCCGGCAGTCTTCTCCGTCGCAGTGCAAGGGCAGAAGACGACGGAAGCTCCGCTTATGGGGTTTGGGGTCGTCAAAGCCTTCATATTGTCTCCGCAGCGAGCCACTCTGCCTCTGCGGACTCGGAGATGCTGCTTATAACGAGGATGAGGCCTTTGAAGAGACACCAAGAGGGCGCATGAATTAAAGTGATATCCATAAAACACAAAAAAGCTGTAAAACAAAGATGCCACGACTTCCCAGTCTCGGTCACGCAGAGGAGACTCCCATCGGTTCCGACTCCGGCTGAAAGTGGCAGAAGTCCCTTTTTTGGGGGGCCCCCCAAACTCGGCTGCACTGTGCGGCGCTTCCCGACTATTGCGTGGAGCGCCACAAGCCGCAGGGCACACAGGTCGGATGCTTCCAGCAGCTCGCTTCGCTGTGGGTACTGCTGCATGCTCGGAGCTTGGAAGTGTATGCTGTGGTGGAGCTACATCAGCTGGCAGGCTTTCGCAGGCCTCGTGAGCCGCAGCATCTGCAGAGGAAATCCGAGACTCCTGGACTTCCGTCTCCCCGGTATTCTCCGTAAAATCCGAAGGCAAAACAAAGACATGGCCCGGGATATACCGATTCAAGAGCTGCAGCAATCGGGAGTCTTGAGCCCCTTTGTAGATAGGGCGAAGCAGATCCAATGCCCTCGAGCCCCACGGAGATGAAGCTTCTGGATTGAGGAACCAAACGCTGTGGAGGCCCTCAACGAATTCCACGGGAATCTCCGTAGGCTGCAGGCTTATTTCGCTTCGCGGGGTTGCCCGTGAACTACCGCTGTGGAGTTGCTGCTGAAGTACAACAGGAGGAACCCTTCCCAGAGGCCTCTGCAGATGGGGAAGGAGGGGGGGGGACGTGGATAGACAGAAGAAGGTGACAAGCAGGGACCAAGCATAGCTAGAGAGATAGCCGTTCCGGGTGCCTGACGCTCACAACGTAAGGTGAAGTCTGTCACTCAAGGACCTCGTCTGGTACATATATATATGCTATTTTTGTGTTTTAAACACTCACCAACACTCTAAAGCAAGGCAGAGCCAGGTCATGTTGTAGTGGCGTAGCAATCAACTATGCTGAGAACGCGAAGGCCGTTATACTGTCGAGCGGGTAGCAGGGGTCTGTGAACTACCACTTTTGTGGATAGATACCTATGGCTACTTCATCAACTGTCCTTCTAAGTGACAAGCGCACTATGGGGCGGTAGGGTTGACTATATTTATAGCTGCTTGTTTTTTCTCCTCTGTGGTCAAGTGTTGGTCGTTTTCTGTAGGCGATAACGGTAGGCACAGAAGCGCGAGAGAGCTCACCTGTGAGTCCTCTACACTCTGCCCAGTGCCTGATAAGCCTGGCCAACGGTGGCAGCAGGGGACAGCTCCTTCCATAGACCTTGAGCATTGCAGAGTTCAGGGGCCCCAGGATACACCCCGCAGTTATTTCGAACTTCACAGGGATGCACCCTGGCACAGAGGGCCCTTGATTGGTCTTTTCCGATATCGAGAGACCCTTGGGGGGCACCATTTCGCCGGGAGAAAGCTTTTCTACTGCCTTTTTAGGGGACTGAATGGTGCAGGAGACTTCGAAGGGATTATCTTTGTCTTCAGTTGACTGCAGTCCATCAGCGGTTGGTCTCTGAAGTAAGCTTTTATCTGCTTTGCCTTGTTGTGTGCGTTCTGTTGGGGTCAGAGTCCCCGCGACTTTTGCTGTTGCCGACTCGAGGTTCAGCCCTTCCAGAGTGCATGTGTCCAGACCTTTTTCCCTTGTGTCACCGCTTCTGGCTCTTCCCTGTGGGAGTCTGTTTTGATCCGCTTCTTGCTTTCGCCGACCTGATGATTCCACGGCTGTGCCTGCTGTCTCCTTTACATTGATCTTGGAGCGGCGGGGCCTGCAATGGGGGCGGGCTCTATGAATTCTCGGATGTAGGTACACCCCACGCAGCACGGGCGGTGCTTTCTGCGGGATCACTACTTCTAGGTCCGCTAAAAGAACAGCAATCTGAGGCTCAGTTTTGAGCAGGCATTGAAGCTGCGTCAACACTGAAGCGGCTGCTCCCCGAGGAAGAGACTTTTGCAGGCAAAGCCGGACCGGAGGGCTCTCCTTGGAATCTTGAGGCTCTTCACTGCTTTTACAACAGTAGGCTAGACTGTGTAAAGAAGGTTGCGTATTTTCAGCATAAGGGCTAATGCAGGGGCCCTCTGCTACCCCAGAAAAATCATCTGGGGTAGGAAGTGATCTAGGAAGAGCCTCGGGAGCCTGAAAATTGCTGTGCTCTGCGTAGCCGCAGGCGTGGCCATAGGGGAGCAGCAGGGCGATATCTAGGTCTGAATTCCAGTGTCCAAAGCCTGTCACTGATGATCCGTAGGGAAGCAAGAGCGGAGGCAGTACCTTGTTCTCGTGGAAAGGGCCAACACGTTGTTGGCAAGTGCGCGTGCCTCCGGGAGGAGTCTGTTTCTCTTCCATGGCTTCTAGCCACCTCGGAGCCTTCAAGGATCTAGCCAACACCCGCAACAGCCGCCTCTTCTGTCTGTCGCCTTTTGCTGAGGGGCGTAATTCCTCGTCTAAAGCCCTCAACTGCGGTGCGAGGCGTTGGACCCCGGAAATCCAGAAGCCCTTATTACCCCCACAAAGGCCCTTCGGTAGGGGACGTTGCAAGCCTGCAGCTTCATGGGCTTCCCAAGAATCGGACTTGGAGAACTCCGCTGTACCTACGCTGCAGCCGCCGTCGGCAGTGGCCTCTGGTGTGCCCCGTTTAGTGCAATCTGCAGAATGCCGGGGCAACCACGGAGAGTATGGCCTTAGCTCTTGGTTAAGGAAGCAGCAGAAGGCCTTTGCTGTCGCCTCGTAGTTGTCAGGTGGTAGCAGGAGAGGTTCTTCTTTATCCAGCAACCTGAATTCATCCTCATGGGGGGAGAATCCACGGTTCTCGGTTGGAAATTCAGGAGGTGCCTCCTCTGGACCGTCAACCTGAGGTTTTACCTGCTCTTCCTTCTCGAATCTATGGACTGTCTCCTCTTGTCGCTGGCACCGATGGTTTTGGCGGGGTAGCATCTCCCGGCCCTCCCTGGCACAGGTTCGCTGCGTGAAATGCCTAGTGGCCTCTTCCCTTGCGGCATTCCCTAAAACGTCCCGGAGGCACAAGCGCCGCAGTCCCGAGCGCCGCATGAGGTCCTGATAGATGGCATGCAACTGCAAACTTAGAGGCTCAGAAAGCCCTTCTTCATGCGGGGCAGCTAGAGGGGCAAACCAGCGTAACAGGCATTCGTAGAAGAAACCACTCAGGATCGACTCTGACGGAGTCTTCAGAGCCTCCAGATGCTGCAGCTGCGGCTGCTGCAGCATCTGTTCCAGCGCGAGCAGGGCAGAAAGGGGCGAGGTCGCAGATATTCCTGCAGACAACAAGGCGATAGATGCAAAGTCGAACACCTCACGAATAAAATATGCGCTGTCACGAGGATTTAGAGACGAGCAAGAGACAGGGCAAGCAAGGTGCAGCACGCCATGAGTGCCGACCAGAAAAATGAAAGAGCAAAGGCTTGCAAGTACTCAACTGGTGGCTATCCTTACTCTGAAGGGCCTCCAGACCTGCGCACTCTGCCCGAAGGCGCGAGGCATAGCGCTGCAGCCGACAAGCAGCTTCAGGACTTGCAGGATAGGTCTCTGGTGCTTGCTCAAGCTGGAGAGGCATCGGAGGTAGATATGTCCTCTCTGTTGGGGGATCGCTTTCGTTTTTTTCTTGCCGCTCTGCTTCCCATTCTCTTCTCTGCAAGCCGCCAGGCCGACCAGGGGCTCGAAGCGCTTTCTGCTGCTGCAGACAGAGCTTCATTGCTGCGAGGAGCAGCTCGCCGGCTGGAGTCAGGCTGCTTGCGTGTCTTGGAGGCGAGGGCCTCGTAACGAGCCGTCTGTAAAGGCTCTTTGAAGGGAGCAGCTGTAGCAGCTGCCGCAGCACAGAGATGAGGCGCGGCGACACGGACGCGAGCAAGTTTCTTCGCGGTGGGGCCTCCTGGTAACAGCGCAGGACTCTTCCTAAGGCTCTCATGGCCCCATTCCCTTCCCTCGGAGGGCCACCTTGGATCTCTGGGGGCGCACCAGAGGGCCCTGCTTTCCACCAGGCAGACACCAGAGAGGCCTCAGCCTCCAGCGAGGAAGGCCAAGGCAGTCCTTCCCTTAGCGAACAAGAGACGCTCTCAAGATCACTAAGGGTGCCCGGCGGTACATCCAGGAGACCGACACTCATGCGGACAGCCCACAAAATGTCTCCTCTTTCCCAGGACCCCTGGTCCTCGAAGGGCGGGGATTCGGCGGAGGCCCCGTCATTCGGAGTGCACAATAAGGCATTTAGCGCCTCCCGCTGCAATAAGGCGGCCTTAAAAAGCAGGGCCTCGGCGGTTGCTGAGGAGCGTGCGAACAAAAGGCCCCAGGCGGGCTCAGGCTCCACGGCCTGCGGCCTCATGGGTAAGACTGCTCCTCCTTCTACCATGAGCACACTCTGGAGCGGCTCAAATCCAGGAAGCAGGAGAAGAATAGCAATTTCACTCATTCACCGCGTTCAGCATCGCACTCTCGTCCATCTCCAGTACACAGATGAGAACTTTTAGTGCTTGCAAGGTCGCGGAAGCATGACTCTAGCTAGGGACCACTTTAAAGAAGGAGGCGGAAGGTGCCCACGGCGCATGGCGACCATCTCGTTCTGTGCTCTCCGAGGGGCTTGGTTAGTAACCAGCGAGGAGACGGCACTTTCTGCTGATCTGGAGGCTTCCCCTGTTCGTCAGAGTGACTTATTGACTGAAAGAGAGCTTAGGTTTGTACATAAGACTCATGGGGACTTTGGTAGCGCTTGTGGCACGACTGTTCGAGCAACACGCCAAAGGTTCGGTGGGGTCACTACGAGCAAACGGCACACACAAGGCACCGGTCCAGTAGCCGAGCCTCCAACTGTCTGCGGGGGTAGAAGCCGTTAAAAATCCCTCTGCAACGAGTTTTAATCACAGGGACAAGAGTCAATTCTGTTGTTCTAGGCAGGGAAAAGCCGGTTGTGGACCCCCTAGCGGGGTCGACTCCGGGGACTCAGGAAGGCACAGAGACTGCGGAGTGTTTCCATTGTAAGCGCTACGCAGAGACCGGAATTTAGGCTCTACTCTAAATCACAGCAATAAAATTGCTGTCTTTGGAGGATAGAAACGTGTGCGGATGCAGATATAGCAACGTTCCCTAGGAGGGGCCCAATGGACGTTAGCAACTCGCGGAGTCGGCCGTGGTGTGTGCATGCGTGTGTGGTTGTTCCTCCCACTGTCAATTGATACTTGCTGCACATCTATTTCTTTTGGACCTGAAAATTGTTACGGCTTTAGCAGACTCAAGTGTCGTTTTATGAGACACTAAAAGTGAGGAACTCGAAACGATGGGCTGGCCACCTCCCGTCGTGTTTCTCGCTCTTGCCTGAGCAAGGCACTCCGAAAAGCCCATTGAATCCTTTCCTATCTTCATGCTAATTGCTCTACATGCGCTTCATCTTTGTACGTCTTCAGGCTTCGCCAGCCCCCATAGCCGTAGGGCGACGGCTGCGGTCCTTGGCCCCCATAGGCAGGGCCTTAAAAGCAAGTAAGTGCATGTAGGCTTCTCTGAACATTGAAGCGCCACCCTATGCGCAAGGGCTCAGTGCAGGAGGATGGGTGGTTGCAGCTAGTTCGAGCTGTCCAGAACACCGCCTCGCTCTTTGGGCTGTTGCCGCTCAGGCCCTTCTCAGAAGCCAATTTTAGGATGCCTAGTTCTTAACCCCTACGTTGAGGTGCCTGTATTTGCACGATCTCGTCTCCCCTGATGCCTTAGTCCCACTGCTGTGCGTGGCTACAGAAGCTTAGCCAGGAGACACACGTAGGTATGGCAGTTACACCCCAGAGGCATTGCACCACCTTTCATCTCTCTAAGAGGCGGCCCAAATCTGCCTGACCCCTTCTGAAAACAGAACACTACCCCAAAGGAAACACTAAATGAAACGACGTGAGGTGGAACCTCCGTGTGTCATTTCACTGCCACACACGAATCTCCCTAAACCTACTGAGGGCGTCTCTCCCTTGGTGCATCGTTTCTTTAGTGCATCGTTTCGTCCAACAGAGTGTCAAACAACCTCTGAAAGAAAGGCAAAGAGGGAACCAAACGGAGGCTGCCTCTCCTCAGCCCATCTGCATGAAGAGTACAACTGTACACTTGGCCTCCGCTGTTTTTCGTTACACCTCGGCTGCAGAGCCCTCTCTGCGACTGCTATGCTGTGTCTCGTAGCAGCGACTGCTACGCATTACTCTAAGAGGCCATAAGGACGCCCGAGTCCACCAGATAAGGCACCTCCGCCGCTAACCATGGCCCCAACTGCACGCAGTAGCAACCCCAATCACACATGCGCGAGAAAGCTGGAAGCTAGTCCTGCCGTAGCTGCTGCGCACAGTGCAACTGCCAATGCGATGCAACAACATGAAAGCAGTCAAACGGACCAGAGACTGCCGCTGGCTCCGAAGTAGGAACCGACACGCAAAAATAAACCGTCCTACGAAAGCGGCAATGAGCAGACCTACCCCAAGGGCCAAAGCATGAGCTATGCCAAACTTTGGAGCGTTCTTACTCCAGAGAGGCGCGAAGTGTGCGTCAAGACAAATCCTGCCGCCGCTGCATGCAGAAGGAGCAAACAGCGAGGAGGAAACATTCTCACGAACACGAAGATAAAACGGCGTTGTGTGCAAAGAAAGGCGACCCACAAGAACAACATGCCACCAAACCATGAGACACGCAGATAAAAACAGCACATACCGATACATCTTGCTAGTCTTCCCGTCCAGCTCGGGCAGCCGCAGATCAATCGGCGTCAGCGGGTACGTTGCAGGGATCTGAAAAACATGCGCAAAAAATGTACAAGCACACGGTAGGCTGCATGGCCTGGCCTTCCATACGGCTTTATAGCTGCAGCTGTACAAGGCCAGAACGACACGCCACAGCGATGCACCCCGAGAAAAGAAGAGCACTTGCTGAGAAGGGAGAGAGGAACAGTGAAACGACCACGAGCCAAGGATGTGGCAAGCCGATTGCATGCATCGTATCCATGTATGTATGCGTGTGTGGGCGTAATGTACAGTCCACATAAATTACATTATTAGTTCCCCTGCACAGTAGAGGCTTTCTACTGGCTTTTGACTTTACGCTACATGAAGACGCAATGAGCCTGAAATATATGCTTTCGCCCGCGTTAGCTAGTGCACGTAGCATGGGTGGTCAGAGGAGAGAGCGACAAGGGTCAAAAGAGGCGTATGCGCAGGCCTAAGCTTGGGAAAATTTCCTCTCCTTGCATCCGCATCTTCGGTACAAGGAAGTCTGTCCTGGCTTACGTCGAAAACTAAATCGAACTCGTACCTAACCATTTCGTGAAGACACCAGCAGCGCCCCTTCCATCTGTTAGAACAGGCACACGTTCGAGCACGAGCCAGGCGTGGCTTGAACAAGTATCAGAGTGAAGAGGTGTCCTTATCTATCTACCCTAGTGGGTATCTTCTTACAAGAGAGCAGAGTGAGGAAGAGGCCGAGGGGGCCTTTATTCGCTAGAGAGTCTCGCACTCTACCGAGAAAGCTGCACGGATGTGCTTGTGTGGCTGCATGGGTTGGGCGTATGCACGAAGGAGACACCTGCTTAGATATATCCGCCACATGAGGAGTGAAGGCTTGAGCTACCCCTCAATGGACACCCTTCCCACCATGTATCAATCACTATTTGTCACGCACTCTGTGCCCTCTTGATTGGCTTCAATCTTGAACCACTCCTTGTCATTTTCTTTCGCGAGCGTCAAATAGCTAATGAGCGCCCTGTACTCCTCCTTCAAGCGTTCGTTCCATTGCGGACTGCGGGGGCCTGCATTGACGGAGCAGAGGGGAAGCTTATCTACAACAGCGCGGGTTGCTTGGTCTGCCATTGCCTTCGGAGTCTACTGCCCAAGGATGACTCAGAGTGCAGCGCCGGCTCCTGGTGGACGAGCGGAACGAATCACACGCAGAGGCGAAGACGGAAGGCGGTACTAACGAGGCACGGAAACGGAGAAAAGCCCCAAGGGCTAAGGGGAAATGTGCACTCAGCGTGCCCGATGAGTGAACTGGCAAAGTGGAAGGGACCAACATGTCTCAGGGGAGAGAAAAGACACGCGTACAAGCTCCGGGAGCAAGGTAGAGTGACCATGCATGCATGCATGCACCAGCAGCCCCCCCTGGTCAGCCTACCTACCTGCATGCAAGGCTCCAGTAGGCCTGATTTCTGGCTGTCCACGTGGCAATTTTTGTTTTAGGTGAGCCATTTTGAACAAGACGCCTATAAGGCGTCTTCCTGTGGCTGACACGGCGTTCGGGTGCTCCCTATTCAGCGCCCAGCAGGAGGAAGCTCCGTAGGAGGGCCTCTAGGAGGGCCCCTCTTTCTTTGTATTTTCCGCTCGAATCTTTTTCCCTAGCGCCTGTGTGTCCGTGAGAGCCATGGGGGGGCCTCCCGTGGACGGGGTGGAAGCCACCGGATGCCCCTCGGCGGCTGCCTCGGCTGCAGATTCCTCGGAGGCAGAGGACCCTTTGCTGCTGCTCTCTCTCCCCCCCCCCTCTTCCCTGTGCCGCTTTCTGGCGCTGCCGCAGCAGGGAGCTGTGGGCAGAGCCAGCAAGCAGCGCACGACTGCAGCAAAGGATGCAACGAGTCGCGGCACCAGCCACAAGCCGCAGCCGCACGCCGTTGGACTCGGGCATGCCGCTGCAGCCTCCGTCCCTCTGAGTCGAGTTCTTCCTTCTTTTCTGCCTGATTTTCTGAGGCGTCATTTCCAGCTGGAGGTGTGTCTTTCCAGGGAAAAACAAGACGTTTCCGGCGTCGTGGTTCCTCAGAACTGCATTCAGCATCCTACCTATTCTGCCCGTGTCTCGAAGCTCTCCCCCCTCTCCGTGGTGCTGCTAATCTCGCTGCTGGCGAGGCTTCGGCAGCGTCAGCAGCAGAAACAGCATCAGCAAGTCACAGGCAGCTGTCTTCTGTACGCGCAGCGGCTGTCAGCCTCGCCCCCCCCCTCCCTGCTGCAGCAGATGCATACAGGAAAGCCCTTCGTGTGCTTCTGCTGCTCCCGCCGCTTTTCGAGCTCTGCCTCCAAGTTGTTGCACCTGGAGCGTCACATGCGACGCCGCAGGCAGAAGCAGCAACAGCAGCAGCAGCATCAAATGGGAAGCGGAGGAGGCGTGCGGCACACCACTGCAGCCTCCAGGATACGTTCTATTGCGACAGCAACAGCAGCTCGTCAGCCCTGGCCTGCTGTCGCCTCGTGGATCAGAGCAGCGAGTTGCTCCTCGCCTGAATCAGACTCGCCAGCAACAACAGCAGCACTTGCAGCAGCTGATGCGGAAGGTGGAGGCTTCAGTGCCGCGGGCATGGAGTATGGCCTACAGCAGCAAATGGCGGCAACAGCGCATGCTTTGAACACCCTGGCGAGGGCGGAGCTTAGACAGCACGAGGAGGTGCAAGAGGATCAGGAGATAGTACCGCAGGAAGATCTTCCTGAGGGACGCTTCCAGGCGCTAAAGCGTCATGACCGATTTCCTTCGTGGCTGCCTCCCTCCTTAGGCTTGCACATAGAAGCAGCAGCGGGCATTGTGGAGGCTGCGCAGCGCGCTTCTGCATCTGGGGGACTGTCGGGAGGGGAAGCTGAGTGCTCCAAGGCGGGAGCCTCCGCCTTAGAGCACTCAGCTTCTGCTGCGACGGCACGCGAAGGCCGTCCCACAGAGCAGCAGCAGCAGCAGCAAGCAACAGATCTGGCCCGTGTCACAGCAGAAGCCGCTCGACAGCTGCAGCAGCACGAGACAAAGCTGTGGCAGTGGTGTCTCGCGGCAGCAGACTTTGGCGACTGCTCCCGCGAGCCGCCCCTTCCGGTGGGAAATTCTTGGGGGGAGGAAAACTCTTCTGAAGGTTCTGACTGTGCGCATCATCGCAGTGTGCCTTTGGAGGCTCCCGGAGGGGCCCTCAAGAGCTTCTCCGCTTCCCCGCGTCAGTGGGCTGCTGCTCTGTCGCAGCTTGCTGCTGCCTTGCCTTGCGAGACCACAGCAGCGCTGGCGAAGGCAGCGCATGCAATCGCGACTGGCGAGTCTGCAGCGGCTGCGGCAGCCGCTGCCGACTCCGAGAGTCTGCTGAATGCCTTGCGGCAGTGCGCAGTAGGAGGAGCAGCGGCAAATGCAGCATCCGTCTGTCCGGCTCGCGTGCTCGTGCAGGAAGCTGAGAGGATGAAGCGCTGCTACCTGTGTGGCTGTGGGTTCCAGCTGCAGCTCGACGAGCAGCAGCAGCAGTACTATCTTCCCGACACCATCGGCGTGGTGCTGCAGCAGCAGCCAGAGCAGCAGCAGCTTGCCGCGGCCATTGTTGCTGCAGTTGCGCCGGCTGTTCGCTCAGCTGTTCAGCATACCAGCGACAGCGAGAACATGTGCGTTGAAGGATCGATTGAGGGAAACAACGCCAGCATACGTCTCATGGAAGTCACGGCAGCGGCAGCGGCGATTTCTTCTGCTCCTCAGTTGCGACTTGCGGCCGTCCACCCCGTCGGCGCCTTTGCGTCTAGCAGGAGCACACAGCACCAACAAGGCCCACAGCTAGACTACTACACTAAGCAGCAACAGCAGCAGCAGCAGCCAAAGTACATGGAGTTGAGCAGCTGTATCGGTGCTCAACCAGCGGCTTTGTCTGTCGCTTTGGACCTGGAGGGCGCTCTGTTACTTTCTCAGTCGACGGTTGCTGAGGGAAGTGCTGCCTCCGCTGTCGCTTCGGCTGGAGGCCGTGCAGCATGTGCAGCAGATGCTGCTGCAGCGGCGGCTTACAGAAGCCTTGTTAGCATGGATCTGACTGAGGGGGATCTAGATCCCCACCAGCAAGAAATGGTTTCCCTTCTACGGCAGCAGTTGCCGGAGTCTATGCAGATTCAAAAACGCGCAGCGGCCCCCGTAAAACACGCGTCTGCATGCACGGATGCTTCAGCCACTGGGGCTCAGAGTGAATTGACGCTGCAGCGAGTGCTGCCCACCGATCTGGTGTACGTACACCGCGACTGCTACTTGCAGCACCTCCAGCAGCACAGTTCCTTCTTCCGGCTACTGATTCTTCTGCTGTTGTTGCGTTGGTCAAACGCACCAGAGAACAAGCATGCACTGTTGCTGGTTGGGCAGGTGCTCCTACAGCTGGTTCAAGAGCAGTGCTTCAGCAATGCCAGCAGGAAGCGCCAGCAAATCCTCACGTGGCCGGAGCACATGGGGAGCTTAGAGACTCCTTCATCGACAGCGGCATGGCGTCCACCCGCCATTAAGGTTCGAAAGAGATTCTGAACATTGGCTCAGAACGGCTTATCTACGGATGCCAAGTTGTATATGTAGTAGCCGCATTAACGCCGCTGCTGCACAAATTGGCCTCTCGCAGGCCTTTAGTCGCCACATGTTGCCGTTGCTGCAGCTTGTGGTTTGCTTTGGTGTTGCTGCACGGGGGCACGCTACAACTCTTGGTGTTTGTTCTTAAGGAATAATTATCCATGGGTACACGCAGAGGTAGCGGTAGGTGGTTTTCTCATGCAGACGTTGGAGAGACCGGCCAGGAAGTTTTTCCTGCCACCCTCTCCTCTGCAGAAATAGTGAGACGTAACACATAAAGGAGACAGCACGTCTGTCTGGGAGGCTGTCTTTCGAATTTTAGCCCAACAGCCCTGTCGCTGCCATAGCTGTCGCTGCTGAAGTCCTTTCACACACATAGTTTGCTTGTCTTCAGCTCAACGAGCCTGGTTATAGGCCTGCATACATGAAGGGCTCGAGGTCACTCCTGACGAGTTCCTGTCCAGAAGCTAGGCTTCAAAATGATTTGATTACAGCATGCAGCTGTATTGGTGGCCCCTACCCTCCCTGCCTTCACTAGTGTTCAAAGGTCCCTCTCCTTTTGTTTTCGCGGAGAGGTGCTCGTTGCCTACAGCGCTTATGCGCTTCAACGCCGCTCGCGCCCTCAAGGGTGCCTGCGCTATTTATGTGTAGGAAAAGCCGAGGTAGGGTGTTACGAACGGATACTTCCATGAGTTCCCCATATGCAGAGTACGCATCACGTCTGGAGGGTCTGTTGAAAGTGCCACTAGGGCTATTGTGTTTCACTGTCTGCAGTGTTTTCGTGGGAGCGATATGCTCCAATGGGTCGGTAAGGAAACGGGAGGGCCCTTGTCGCTCAGCTCACTGCCGCATTGCAGTGAGGAGGAGGCACCGGAGACAGACACCCCAGCGTAAGAGGGCCCCAAAATGTGCAGCGCCATAAGGCCTTGTGCCTCATTGGGCAGGCCTGCATGCAGGGGCAGCGGGCTGCTGCTACGGCGCACAAACAAACTGTTGCCGGGGGCCAAGAAAGAGAGACAGCAACACGCAGCACGACACACGCTACCCCACAGAAACAGACAGTCAAACAAGAAGACCGACAATCGACACAGCTAGCCACACCTACGACGGACTTTTAGCTAGCCACACAAGCAAAGAAACCAGATCAGAAAGAAACAAAGCCAACCAACCTGCTGCCGCAAGTGCGAGAGGAGGAGCAGCAGTTGCTGCTGCTGCGGTGAAAGCCCCAAAACCACGAAAACGGTGCATTTTTGTATCCCCTGTCATATTGCTGGGCGGCAATTGTACACAACCCCTCACTGGCGGTAAGAAGCGCTATTGCAGTGGCATTCGGCGTCCCGCCCCACTACAGCTGAAGAGGCACAGGGAGGAAGTTGTTTGAGGCCCCTTCCGAAGGGCCTTTCTAGTACCCCTCCTCCCCAAAGAACCTCATGGGGCCCCCAGACGGGGGGGGCGGGGGGGAAAGAGGAGGGGAGAGAGGATGAGGAGAGGAGGGGCCTCAGCCCCCTTCTCTCCACGCCACTCTGGGGCATCAGTGCCCGTGCGGGGCCCTAGAGGGTGTTCCGCACTTGCCTTCTCGTTTGGCTATGTATGGCATAGATAGACCCAAGAACACTTCCCCTTAAGAAGCGGGCCTTAAATGCTTCGGGGGAGATAAGAATGCTGATATGTTGCGGCAGTTGTTTCCGCATTTTTTTCCTGTTTGTTGCCAGGAATAGTTTTGTGTGTCATCCTCATGACAGCTGAACGTCGATTCTTTTCGGGTAATCTAAGAACTCGTACCTCTGAATGAGGGGGGGAGGACCTGCCCCCGTGGCGACCCCTGGGGGCCCCGGGTGACGTCGGAAGAAATCCTGTAGCTGCATAGCGGCCATCTCCAACACCCGAGCAACGCCCTCAAGGGCCCCATCAATCAGCAATACCCGTTCTGAGTATCCACCTCCCATTAGAACACACAGATTCCCCAAGGCTATGTGAACTGTCCTGCCTCCCCCTTCCTGCAGCGCATGCAAGCCTGCACAGTTGCTGCGCAACAGGCGACCTACGTACTCCCCAGGTACCACCAGACACATCCTGTAGCCCTCGACGTTGAGCCTAAGCCCCGGCCTACTGGTGTCAGCAACCGCAAAAAGATCCGCACTGGCCCTCAGCAGGGAAGGAAGGGCCCCCACAAAAAGCACGCAGCGGCCATTTGGAAATCCAGGAAATGACGCAGACTGGGCAGAAGTCTGAATCCTGCAACGGTGGTGCCTCTCCAGCAGCTCTACCCGACGCCCTTGGAAGCCTAGGAGCTTCACCACGAGGTTGTGATCTGCACAAAGCTTCAACACCGAGTGGCTGTACTCACGGGTACAGGGAGCGAACGGAAACCTGAATACACACACGAGGACACGCATAAACATGCAAAAATGCGCGCATACCCATGTGCATACAAGAGCAACCCCACCCATCACCACCTCGCCTTGCTAGAACCTGTATTCATCTAGTTCTGCACAGCGAGCGAGAATGGAGTGAACAGAACCGTAGTTGGCAACAGAAATGGAGGGGCTAGTGAACGCTTGGAAAAGGCGAAAGCTGCGCGTAAGACACTAAATACATTTTTTTCCCCTCAGACTACCGAATTCATGAGCTGTGCGTTTCCGTGAGACATACGTGCTGAGGAAGCGTTCGACAGAAATGTCGCCGCCCCTAAGGAGAGGAGTTGAAGGGTTCGGTGCACTCCTTATTTCATCTGCGGAGACTTCGGGTCGAGGCAAAACGCCCCCACTTAGGGCCCTGCTGAAAGAGAGGTTAGCTGCTGAGCTGCTGCTGCCGCCGCTTCCTTCAGCGCACCCACTAAACTCGCTCGCAGTGCCGAACGGACTCAGAGACTGAGCCCTAGAGGCTGCACCCCCCTTCGGGGCATGCAGCAGCTGGAAGGGCTGCTGCAGACGCATCTGCTGCTGCTGTTGTTGCTGCTGCTGAATGCGAGACACCAGCAGCTGATTCTCCCGCTGCAGGACCAGAACGGCTTCATGCAGGCGAGAGAGGCACTCGTGAATCTGAGCGTTCCCAGCAGCGTCTACAAGCTGCTGCTGCTGCAAAGGGCCCTGCAGCAGCTGCTTTGCCTGGTGCAGAGCCCCCTGCACCACTGGCCAGCTATTTTCAGATACACCAGCGGTTGGGCTGCTGCGAGTCACCGGATCCGACTCTGCACATACAAGGGCAGCACAGACGAGATCACAAGGCTCACCGACAGCGAAGCCTCGAGAAGCACAAAGGCCAGGCGGGGAACCTAGCAGACGCTTTGCAGTGTGGAAAGACTGGCAGCGTCGAGGGGGGCCGTCGAAAAGGGAGGCAAAGGCGAATAACAATGCTTTCGATCCAGCAGTGCTTCCTCTCAACAAAAAAAGACCACGAAGCAGACAGCAGTGGCACCAGCCATTTACCCAACGTCCCCCCGCCCCCAAACGAGACGAGCCGAATACAATGCCAGAGAGCGACACCCTAACACCTCTACTCTTTCTGGATTATTTCCCTTCGTTTCTATTCCCCTCTTTTGCTCTCTGCTGCTTTCAAGGCTCTATGAATAAAATAAATATATGGTAGATCCGAGAAGCAAACGCGAAGCTCCTTTGAGAGCACACCAACAAGGGGCCGAATTACTATTTAACAAGTCGCGGATACGCCTTGGGTGGTCGTGTCGAGGTGTTACGGCCCCTTAAGAGAAGGACTGCCTCCATGTGTCTGTGCGTGTGTCATGCATCACTAGCTATTTCTTACCGCTGGACTATTTACAAGACAGAACCCTATCTCCAATGATGTAACGCTGATACAACCAAGAGTGCCACAGCATTCAGATGCACATCTGTGTGTAGACAGGGGAGAGAGAGAGAGAAGATGAAATGGGAGGCGTGGGGGAAGGGGGTGGGGGGCTTACGGTTGTGTGGCCGACCGTATTTCGTCCTCCCTTGAGTTCGAGACCTTCCCGATGCCCTCTGCTGCTGCTGCTGCTGCTGCTGCTGCTGCATCTGCTGCTGGTGCAGTTGTTGCTGCTGCGTTCCGTCTACCCCGGCTTCCGCAGGTGCTTGGGCAGCGGCAGCAAAGGGCCCCTCCTCCCCACGCCACACGCGGCCGTTGACTGCGATCTGTGTGGCTGGGAGGAGGCCTTCTAAGGGGTAGTCCGCTAGGGAGGCTTTCCTGGGAGTAGATGCTGAGGAGACGGAACCGCCGCTATTCGCATGCAAGAGACGGCACACCTGCTCGAGCACAGCGTCGAAGCTCATGTTCATACTGTCGCTTGAAAGCACGCTTCGACGGGGAGGAGAGCTGTCGGTTCCGCCACACTCGCCACTCTGCTGCCTCTGCAAGAGCAATTGCTGATCCTGCGGGCTTGGGGAGGCCCCCGGCTGCTGCCATATCGAGTAATCGCTACCCATTGCAGGGGAATACGCGGGGGAGACGCTCTTGGGCCCCCAAACGTCGCAGGACGGGGAGTTTTGGGGTGTATTTACAGCCGACGGGGGAGAGGGCAGCCGCTGCTGCTGCTGACGCTGCAGATGGGCTGCAGCACCAGTCCAACTCTCATATTCCATCGCGTATGGCACAGAGAGAGGCGCGGGCGGACCCCCAGGGCAGGAACGGGTGGGCTCATAGCTAGAACCAGGGGACTGGACAAGGCCACTGGTTGGAGCAGAAAACAGTGAGGCTGGAGGCTGCTGTTGTTGCTGCCGCTGTTGCTGATGCGGTTGCAGCTGCTGCAGTTGTTGCTGCTCCATTATTGAGGGGTCAAAAAAGCGCTGGGGATCTATCCCTATGTATATCACACAATGAGGCTCATGTTACGTGTGGGCACGTATCTAGAGTGTATGTACACTGCCCTGCTCCGGCAGCAGTTGGTGCATGCATGAACAACCACTCGCGATGGTGCTGCGGTTGCTCCGTCGTTGCTGCCAAGCGGACAAGTCACTACGTGTGCCTGTTCTTGTAGTCTCTGGAAATTCTTCTTTGGAATCCAAGAGGAAAGATCGGGAGAGAAGGCCTGCTGCCGCTGCGGCTGCTGCTGCGAATCGCTGTCCGCCCAGCTGATGGGTACGACCACGAGGGGAGGCCGCAGGGTCCTTGTGCATTAAGCAAGAAGTGGCAGCAAAAGCACGAACAGATATTTGGAAGAGAAATCCTGGAACAAGGGCAGGAGAGAAACCTGGGGGCAGCAGCAGCATCAGCTGCTGCTGCTGCTGCTGCTGCTGCTGACGTGGCCCATGAAGTGAAGCGCTTTTGCTCCCTTGAGGCTCTCTGGGCAGTTCTGCTCCCAAAAGTGTCGATGGCGAGAAGATTCAAACGGAAATATCAGCTACAGCAGCGGCACAGCCCGTACGGAAACGACGGGCAGCAGAGCTGGATGCAAGAACAAGACGATACAAACACCAAAGCCACACCAGCCCCTTTAAACCATAAAACAGCAGTCTATGTTGATCTCATATAAATAGAAACAGGGAGAAGGGCCCCGCGTCAGCAAATGAAACGCCTGTTGTGCAGCTGCTGCGGTCCCGTGGATACTACATGAGCTCAAGCGGCTGCCGGCTGCTGCTCCTGCTGCCGGATCAGCAGCAGCAAAAGTCGCCACTTCACGCTTCCTGGCCATAGTTTTCAATTTCCTTCCCACGTGTATTTAGAAAGAACAACGAAGCGAAAGGCCTCCTTCAAAGGGAGCACAGCCGCGCACTCCCTCTCTCAGGCCTTCCTCTGCTCAGACACCAGGGGCCCCAACACGAACTCCTCCCCCACGACCAGCCTTCCCCTCCTCTCCCAGGCTCCTTCCAAAGTCTCCAGTCGCTTCCACCACTTAACACGACTCCCCCCGCCAATCTTGGTGCTGCCCGCGCCGCTTTTTCCCACCCCCCAGCCCCCCAACCCGCCACGTCGACGCCGCTTTCTCCGCGCGAAGAGCTTCCCCCGAGGCTTCGTCAAGCCTCACGGCTGCTCGCGCGGCTCTGCAGCCTCCCCCAGCAGCGCAGCCTTCCCCTGGCAAGTCCTACCCCGCAGCCTCACGCCACTCCCCACCTGCTTGTTCTCAAGCAGCGGCGAGCCATACACCTCTCAAAACAATGGATATCGAGGGGCCTCCCATCCCCCTAGACGCAGGAGACCCCGCAAACACCGCATCTCCTCCCAGGGGGTTCTACTCCCTTTTCTTCTCCTCCTTTCAGGGGGCAGTGTGTCACGCAGAGGCAACATTCACTCGCGAAGGCGCTGCGTGTGGGATCCGTCCAGATGGTCGATGCCCCGTGGAGCTCAGGCCTCGCATCCTCGCCTGCGGCATACTCCCCCTCAGCTGCAGCAGCGCCGCCATTCAAACGGAAGAAAACGTCGTGATCGTTACGGCCGATGTGCGGCAGCCACCTACCTCCTACGACCACGCAGCGTTGCGGGGGCTGGGGACACATTGCACACCTCCTCTGACGATCGAAAGCTTCTCCGCGCTGTTTCTACGCCTCTAGGGGCCCCTGTGGCTTTTCTTCGCTCCTCTGCGCTCTGTAGAAGCCAGTCTCGCAGTCAACGGCTTCCCCTGCAACGCTCATGTCTGAGCCGAAGCAGCCGTGGGCTTAGCGGCTAAGGCTGCACAGAGCGTCGGCCTTGCGCGCCAGGCCTCTTGCTGGGGGGTTCTACACCATCTTTCGAGCTCATAGAGTCTACATGCATGTCTCTTATTTGGGGCTTTGAGTTTCTTTCTGTTGTCGCTGCATGTCCAGGCTGATCTGATCCTACCCGGCGCGGGAGGCCAGCAAGAGCCCTACAGCCTCTCCGTTGGATGGTATGCGTGCAACACTGCTTTCTAACAAAGAGAGCGGAGGATTCCATGTGCCTCAGCCATCGTTCCCCCTCTGGTGGAGAGGCTGCTTGCACTCTGCCTCGGCGTGCGCCTCCAGCTCACACGCGGCGTCTCGACTGGGAGGCCAAGCAGTTCCGTCTGCTCAGCTTCCTCCATCTAATCCGCACTACCGGCAATTCGAGGGCTTCTTCGAAGGCGGTGCGCGGCTGAGGGATTGTTGCGTCTGCATGCGCCTTGTTCTCGCAGTGGGGCTGCTGAGCAGGAGCTCGCAGACGTAACGGGTGGAGACGGAGCCTCTCTCTCGTCTCTCCTTCAGGCCACACTCGAGCAGCTGCTTCTTCCCCACCTCGTACCCTTGAAAGATGAAGGCGGCAAGGCCTCTTGGAGAATTTCGCTCGATGTCATTGTAAGCTTTGAGTCAAGTTCAGAGTTTAAACGCCAGCAGCAGAGGCGGGGTGCGCAGATGAAGCTATACCTACTTCCGCCTTCGCTCCCCCTTCCACCGTTGCTTCCTGTAGGCGGAGCTATAGCGTCGTGGTTTCTGGAAAGTATTTGTGCAGGTTCTTAAGGCCGGTGGCTGCCTCTTGGACGCAGTGAGCCTCGCCATATGGGGGGCCCTAAAGTCGCTCAGGTGAGGGAGAGCAACGGAGGTGGCTTCTTCGCTGCGTCGAGCATCCAGTTCGTCCCTGGTAGAATCCTCCTTTGCGTGTGTTCTACGGGAATCCTCCTCCGAGGTACCAGTCAAGACATCAACACCAACTGGACCGGCTGTGAATGCAGACTGCCAAGCGTTCTAATCGAAGAGGCTGAGGAGAAGGACCAAGGCCTCGCCGTGACAGACCTCAATGTTTCATGCGACGAGCGGTATGTTGAGAAAATACGGCTCGCCTTCCTAGAGTTGTCGTCACCCCCGGCTGAGTGTAGCATGAGGGCAAGCCGTCTACTGCATAGCAGGTAGCTGGAGGGAGACATGAAACTGGCCAGCTAACGCAGGAGGCTGCACCGAGGCGGCACTGCTTCTTTTGGCGTCGCGCTTTCCTAGCTGAGCTCAGACTTCATTCAGCTGCAACTGCCGTGGGCAAGCACCTGCGTCGCATGCCACTCCCTCCATCAACGTGCTTCGATGGTCTTGCGTCCATGGCTTTGTTTCTTGCCCTTCCCTCGCGTTGTGTAGTTTGCTGCCCGATCCCGTACATTCTGTTTGGCTCAGTTTAATCAATTTTTTGCTATCCCCGCAGCGTTGAATGCAGTGGCGCCTCTGCCCGTGTCTCGGTGTATTGGTGCCTGCTCCTACCACAGTATAAACTGTCTTCCTATCGGCCTTGCGCGTGAAGATGTGCTCATGCTTTATGTCTCGTGCTGCCTGTGCCTGCAGTATTGCTGCTGGGAGACCCTACCCCATCGATACGGTGCCGATTCTCCTTACGGCTGCACAGGTAGGAGCTTGCGCCTCGTTCTTAGTTACTGCTTTTAAGAACTCCTGTGTATCCGGAGCGCAGGGTTCTACCTGTGAACGACTCGTACACTGGCCTGCGTATCAATGCTTTCGGTGGAAAAGCCCTTCAGTCTCTTCAGCGTGAAGCTGTGTCTTCCCTTAAGGGCCCTCTCTGGGGGTGTTGCTCTTGCTGTATCTTCTGCGCCTTCCCTGTTAGCACATTCACGCGGCCTTGTGTGTTTGGCCCAGGGTGCAAAAGTATCGCGATATAGCGGCTTTTGCTGCGGATATCGAGCTTAGGCGCTAGATATTATCAGCCCTGGAGAAAGGGTTGTTGTTGGTTTGAGGCATCCTTGCATGTAGTTTACACGGCGTCCGCGTTTCGCCTCATGGGGTTTGGGGGAATATAGGGCTTCGTCATGAGTATTGTTCCTAATATTACTGTGGCTGATCATTTCGGTTGTGCTGCACCACCTTTCGCAGATCGGGGGGACTTATTTGTGGGACTTGACGGACGTTGAAGCAGCTTGCGCAGACAGCTTCCTAGTGGCAGCCATACTGCCCTCGGGAGCGTGCGTGGCTCTTCAAAAGTTTGGACACATTCTCTCTGACTGCCGCACCCTGCAAACGACCCTCACAGTGAGAGGCTTTCGTAATCCTGCCTTGACCATCAGAAACCGAGGCAAGGCCAGCATCAGCTGGCTCTGCCTGCGGTCACGATCGTTAGAAAGCACGTCGTCTGTTAAGAGGCGATCCGCAATACTTATCAAAGCTACTCTCCGGGTCGAAGTCTTAGAAGCTTCGTACTTTGAGTCTGAGGGCTAAGAAATTGACATTTTGTCACTGTATCACCATGTGCGTCTTTCTGCATGTCTTCTGGACAGATTTCACAACGGTTGAGCCGTGAGATCCTGGAGGACCTGAAGCGCCAGTCGGAGCAAACAAAAGATGCCCTTCACGGCCAACTTGACTCCTTCTTCTCCCTGGCCTCACTGTAGCGGTTCTACAAATAATGAGCTTCTCTAACCCCTAGGGAGGCGAGATAGGGGGAGCTTAGCAGCAGGAGCGGGCTCCGTTGATTTGCGGGATTTCACGGACAGAGCTGCTTCTGCTGTCGTTGGGGTCTGCGGCATACCTCCGCCCCCTTTGGAAGCTCTTTAGCGGATCTCGAGGAGCCGCTTGTTTGTAAAGTTTTAACTTCGACTTCGATAATAAAATGTAGTCCAGCTGCGTCGTGTACAGTCTCGTTTGGTGTTGAATGCTAAAGAAGCACTACTTGAGTGTGCTAGTTGGAGTGTTGTGTGGCAGTCTTGCCTTTTCCACATGGTTTCAAAGCGTAACGGAAAGTCCCTAAAAAGATATATATCTGAGAATGAAAACGGTCAGAAGCAGCTCTTGATTTTCTGCTGATTGGTGGTTCTTGCTTCGCAGAAAAAACAAAGACGCCAACAAGTAGTTACTGTGCATGTAGTGATGGTTTTTGTCCACTTTTTTCCGCACAAGTGCAAGGAGCAGCATGTACTTCCGTGCATGGGGCTCAAACAGCTAGCTGCCAGGCTGAGTTAAGAAAATTGATTATTTGATTATTTGCTAAGCTGTTGCATCGGATGAGCCATTTTCAGTACACCTGTACTTGCTGATGCTGCCTCAATCGGGAAGAAGCTGCTTACGAACAAGTGTCTCGAGACTGTTGGTATCTGGCAGCTCTGAAGGGTAAATCGTTTCCCTTCCTGGCGAAATGGGGCATATAAAAAGTAGGATATTTGTACTTACAACCACGCAATGTTATATCCGACCAAGGCAAATGGGGAGAGCTGCTTACCATTTTTTTTAGTAAAATAACGAGGAATATGCAAATTGCGCAGCTGAAGGATGTGAAGTTATACCCTCGTAATCCTCCAAGTGGCCAGCGTCTACCCTGCTAGAGGGCATTGCTGCCGAGTATAAAACTGGTCATTCCTGGGGCGGAACCCCGTGAGCGACAATTTAGCTTCCGTATGCAGCACACCAACTTCTCAAAGAATATTGAATAATCAGGGTCCCAGGTGTTAGTTTACTGGGTTAGTGTTTCCCCGTGGCTCTTCCGCCCTCGCAGCTTCACACTAGGAAACTGTCTGTGCTGTTTTGAATTTCCAAGTATTTCTACTGCTCTTGCTCTTCAATAAAAATACGCAGAAAAGCCTATTGTAACGTATCGTTCTCAGGTACCTCTTTGGTTTGCCATAGTGTATTCTACTTACTGCGCACGCTTGTGAAATAGCCATCGCTGAGTCCACAGCCGCACGTCTGCTTTGCTTGAACACGTTCCTCCCCGTTAATCTTCAGGCCAGGGATTCGCTCTGGCTAGCTAATAGGTACTTTGTTTGTAAGCTATCTCGGGAACCTCCCCTTTTCCAGGTAGCATTCCTCCTATCTTTGATAGAAACGGTCATGTGTGACCTCGCCGTTGCGCACCATCTCTTGTAACTAATAATTATTATGCGCTGCTTCTCGCATTGATAAGCTACACATTATGCTCTACTCGAAGCTCTAATCCCATTCGAGTATTGAGCAAGCGCCATGGCTAGGTGTGTGCTCCTGACAGCGCCGCCCCTCGGCCTGTAATACTTCTCACCGCTCAGCTACCTTTGCGAAGGGCAAAAAGAAAGGTGGTGGGGATCAGTCCTATGATTTACCTGACTACTCATACGTGTTCAGTTTATAGGATAAAACTTCTAACGCTGCCTTCGAGGCGAGCATGGTGCAGAACTCACCAGATAGGATGGACTACTGCTGGGTGCGGCACAACCTTTAAACGGTGCACACCAAAAATTGCAGGCCTCACACTACTTAGGCTAAACGCCAAATTAACAGCAAGCAACCAAAACTCCACAGGAGTTTTCTTACTCTCCTGTAAACGGGTACAGCAAGTGCAGCTCGGTGGAAGCTTACATACCAAGGCCATCTGACCCTTGAACCATACTGTTCTTCCAAGGGATAGCCTAATGAATGTCAGGCACTACATCCCAACTTTCGTGAAAATACAGGGAGCCGTTGTTTGCCCATTCAACTGCATCCTACTTGGTTAGAGCGCAGCCAGGTTTGGCAAAAATGTTAGCTAGCTTGCCGAGGCTGCATGCTTGGGTGCAGCAAGATGATACAAGAGCGTTTTGCACTGCACATTGCAGTGACTGAAGCCACAAGGACTCAGGTAATACTTTTTTAGTTGGGCATAATAAAGGTTCTGTCACGTGTACACTAAAAGGCTTGGTATATTTGTTTATTTGTTGCAGGGACCGCAGGGCTCCTTTCAAGTCGGCACCAAAACACAATCAACCATTAAACCCTATCAAAATTTTGAATAAAATTACTTACAGAGTCTTCCCCAGAGATGTTGAATCTTGTTAGCGATACTCTACAGGGTCTCTGCCTTCGGGCACGGCTCTCAGCAGGGGTGCAGAGAGCTTCACTCTCGGAACACCGCACGTGTAGAACAAAGTACATATAGCTGGTTTAGTAGAAAGTGCGTATGCGCCGTTAAGGATCGGTAAAATTCTATCCCATTAAGTGCATTTGTTCGTATATGCGAATTTCGCAGAGTTGATTTAGCTCAACACTAATAGATCCGCGTTGTGTGCGTTTGCGCTAGCTGCTCTGTGCAACTGCGGTTGTGTGCTAGCAGTGCTCGAAAGGTGCGGCAACGCGCATTCAGCTGCCTGTTTCCCCTAATATCTGAAACGTACAGGGTGAATTTAATGATGCCGGGGGCTCTTTTGAGGGGCGCTTTGTAGCATGCCAACAAATTTGTGTTAGGCTTGAGACTGTGGGTCTCCCCCCCCATGGAAACCAAAGCTGGAGTGCTACGGCAGCAGACTATGTGTAGCTCAACCTGCTACAAAGCAGAGTTAGTTCTGCATTACAAGAGCGTACGCTGCGTATCCATACGCAAATTCCTGTGCGAAGCTGCGTGCGAATGCCCGAACTGCTCGGCGGGGGCAGCTGTATGCATCCCAGTTGCCATGTCTCTCCACATGCCGGAACCTCATGGGGTGATGGCCATGCAAAACAACTGAGCATCTTGAGAGCACACAAGATAATATCTTTAAAAGCCTTTGAAGGGGCACTGGCTTTGAGCCCCTTGTGAAAACCCTACGGAGGAATGTTACGTTCGGTAGCACTGAACTCCTCGGCGTTTGAGCTGCCCGCACCTCCACTGGGAGCTGATGCAGCGGGGTAGCACAATCCAGGCCTAAATATCACTGCTGTAGTCCAATTACTCGTGAACGTATCATTCAAAACTTGCTTTTTGATCCTTAATTCGAAAAAGGCCCGCGGAGCCATGCACGTTGATGCAGATGCAAACCTTGATGGGGCGGTAAATTCAATCAACTATTTACCACCATCACGGCTCTCACTAAGAGCTGAGCGGTTAGCCCTAAGCTGGTTTTTTCTTACCTGCATGCACTACTGCAGAAGGTGTGTTGAATTCTTATTGTAGCCCAGTGACTAGCACACAACAAAATAGTCTCTTGATGCAGCAAAGGATTAAGGTAACTAGTGCGGGGTGCGATCAAAAGAACTGTTTACACCTAAGCTATGAGGCGGTCACCTACAGTAGGTAAGGACAGTCCAAACGATGAATGGGTCAAAGACGGATTGGAACCTGTATGGCAGATTGAGTCATCCGTAAGCCGTAGAAAGTGTCCTATCTCTAATCCCCTCCGCCGTCTGTTAAGTACTTTGATTGCCAATGAGTGACCAAGCTGGCGGATAGCGCGGGTTGATTGAACTTGACTCTTCGCAGATCCCGACTGACTGCACAAAAATAGACCTGATTTCCGTTGGGGGTGAAGACTTCCTAGCACTACATAACAACAGTGGTTCTTATGTACAACACCGAAATACTGCTTAAAGTATTGGAATGGTTGCGAAAGGGAATGTAAAAGCTTAGAACCCTCTTAGTTGGCTGCATCGAATCCCTAAGGATCCTCTCCTCCATGCCTAGCAAAGGACTTTTCACGGGTGTAACTTCCTCACGCAAAGGCCGAATAGAGCTTATAGAAAAGTCACTTGTAAAACCTGATTTTTACTTATGGTTTTCACTCTCTGCTGCTTGTGTATGCTCTCGAAAGGTGCAACCAAGTGTCTTCCTGCATATGCCCCTCCCGTCGCGATTTCAACGAGCGCCCACGATTGGCTGGGAGTTGAAGCACCTCGAGCTATCTACACACTGCTTACCTGTTCAATAAATTATTATATACGAATTTAATCTTGCACTGACACTATAACCGGGAGTGTGGTAGCCCAATATCCCCATAATCATCCGTGGGGTACCGGTTCTAATGCTTCAGAGCGTGAATCCTAGAGGGCTCAAGAGGCGCTTTGAGGAGATGCCTCCGAATTGTTGGTCGAGTTGGGAACAATCAGTGGCTAGTATTTTAAGGCATTTATTGGATTCCTTTGTTCATCTGCACTGAATCACCCTAGGCCCTAATGCGGCGCCCCACATTCTATTGCTTGCCTACTGCAATCTGTCGTCTGTGATTGGCTTTGGAGCGTAAAAACGAGTGCTCCGGGGGGGAAGAAGCCCGAATAGACCTTTAAACGCATTCTTATGGTCTAATCTAGCATTTCGCGCTTCGCCTTCTACCCTAACAGGGCCCGTTTCTGCACAGGGATTGTTGGTTGCAGCACGCAGCAAAATTAAAGGAGAGCTTTGAGGTTTAATAAGAAAACTACTTAAGTGCGTGCTATATTTTCAGCATTAAAGTGACTTGAGTTGCCTCTTTCTCACTTTTATACCAAAAATTTTCGGAATGAATCTTTAGCACACGCTTCCTAAACAGCTCCACCCAAGGTTTTCACGGGGAGGCACATCTCTTCAAAGTCAATACACACTTTGTAAAGCGTTATTGAATGTTCCTCAAAAGAGCTTCTTCCTATCCTGCCGGTCCCCTCCGAGTGCTCGACAGGAGGCGAGAGGCACAGCTAGAATGCGCGTAGCTGCTCGTTCTTGGCA